CAGCGGCCAGTGTGACGGTGTCCAGTGGACCAACCCGGAGCAAACAGAGTTCTCCGTCCCATGGAAACACGCTTTAAGACAGGACTCCTCCAACACGGACATCCTCATCTTTAAGGTAATGTCACACACAATAATCAGGATGATGTTGAAAAACACGAGTCGCAATATAGTTTAAACAAAATCAGGTATAGGGATCAACTTGCAATTTAAAACTGTAAAAACAAGTAAAATATTTGTTGTAACTATTCTGAGAGAAACAGGTAGCCGGTGCTGTGTTTTAACCCGTGTCCCCGCTGTAGGCCTGGGCAGAGACGAGTGGCAATGGCCGAGCTCACGGAGACCATTCAGTCTGGAAGAGGAACTTCCGCAGCGCCCTCCGAGCAAAAGGCTTCAAACTGATCTCAGACAACAAGAACGACGGCGCTAACCCCCACAAAGTGTTTCGCTGGCCGGAGACGTCAGCTTCAGGAGGTGAGGACCCTAACCCTAACCCTAACCCTAACCATAGACTATCAACATTTGGTACTTAATTGTACTGGATAACAGGCCAGCTAAAAAAGGCATTTTCTCTATGCACTGTACTAAACTACTTACAACACAATATTGTGTGTACTGGCACCTGGCAAAAATCCATAGTCAGTGTATAACCTAGAGTAGATGGCGGACTGAAAGCCCGAAGTTTGAAGGAAGAGAGGTTTATCGGTATAGAAGCTAAGCAATGAAGCCTACTGCTGTGAACAAATCACTTTTAATAAGGTCCTCAGTTAACTGTTTGCTATGGTATTTATTTGAACCTCTGTCAGACAGCCCTTCTAGACGTTGTTGCATACAATTATGTCATGATTTACATTTCTGTTGTTGAGATCTGTGAGGGTAATATGCAAATACAGAATCATTACCATCCGTGAAGTGGATTATAGGATTAAAGATGTGTTCTGAGGAGAATAAATAATTAGAAAGGTTAACTAAGCTCTTTGCTTTTACTCTCAAAGCTAACTCTGCTGCTGGATCCCAGGAACAAGATGATCCCGATTTGTCTGAATATTTCCCCCTTCCTACACAAGAGGTAAATGACTGTGGGTTTGTAGAAACACGGGAAGTAAATCACAAATGCTGTATCATTTTACGATTGCATGTAAACACTTGTGTATCTATGATATTTTAGAGCCAGGTCGTCCCAAACTTCGAAGACTATCTCTATCTTCCAGAAGACACTGTGTTTTCAGGTAAGAGAATTCCAGAAATGTTGATTCATTTGAAAGCTAAGAACATGGAATTACTTTTCTGAACATTTCCTAAGAACCAATTTCCGCCAGCAGAACACCCCGACCATCATGATATTCTGCAGGAGTGTCTGATGGGACTGAACATTGGCCCGGACACAGGTAGACTAGCTCTTCTCATCATTTCCTCCTCATCATCGCTGCAGACTGAAGGTACTTTCCTGGAAACACTTTCTCAGTTTCTCCAACTTTTCCACAGAGGGCACTGCAGGCTTTGAGCTTCCTCCTGAGCAACAGCAGCTCCAGAACCCGGCTGTGATTGGTGGACATGCGTTGCCTGGGCAACAGCAGTTTCCAGTGATGTATGAGGGTGAAGCTGGGTTGCCTGAGCAACCGGCAGGACCAATAGAGGGAGCTGTAGGCGGGGCTTATGACGGGCAGTTTGCTGAGCAGTTCAAACATTCTGTGAACAACACCAGAGATGGAGAACATTTCAGTAAGTGGATAAACATGACTGAAAGAAAGGAAATGGACACACAGATGTCTAAAATATTAACATAGAATACCCTGACCTGTGCCATTATTATTCAACTGTGCAATACTCATATCACCTGGGATTATTACTGTTTACACTGTACACAAGCAATGATCTGTTTTCAGAATTCATATCTTTCGTAATACTAATACACCACTTTATAGTTTGTCATATACACATTTCTACATTGTTGTTATATTTTAGTACAATGTGCACATTTGTATTTTATTCTAAAATGGAGCAACTGCTACAAAACCCAATTTCCCCCGGGGATGAATACATTGTTCGGAATCTGACTAAGGCCATCAAAACAATGTGGTCTATAAACATGTAAACATGCATTTTCTCATACACTTCTCTGCTTTCTGAATCCACAGAGACACATTTCAGGATATCCGTGTACTACAGAGGGGTGAAGGTGTTGGATCAGCTGGTTGACAATGAAGTTGGAATCCGCTTGGTCTACAGGTAACACCCAAATAAAGGAAACAAAATGTTCAATATCCCAAGTTTAAAAATGTACTCTCACAGTTAGAGTAAAAGTTATTAGTTTGGGAACAACACAATATTCACTTTCTTGCTAAGAGTAGTAGATTAGGTTATTATACCACTTTGTTACAGTTTTGCAAAATACTACCACTTCTAAAGCTGCACAGTTTTTTGGCACTTCAGCAAATACATATTCTTAAGTATCTAGACACTCATCATTTTATTGTTTTAAGATACTATATTAAAAACGTTTTTGAGATACTATACAATGGCATTTTTATGACATATGAAAAATATTTTTTGGCCAAACTGCTAACCAGGTTGTATAAATCTGAAGAGTAAAAAAGAACAAGTTTAATTTTTTCCCGTTTTCATTCTTTGTGCTAAGCTAGTTTACAGTCATGGCTGCAGCTAAATTAATGCTGTACTGATATGAAAGTGGCATCAATCCCATCTAACTTTCTGTAATAAATCAAAGGCAAATTACCTGCAGTTCAACTTAAAATTGAATGAGTTGTCTTTTCATCAGGCCTCAACTCACAGGGACAGTTTTGGATCCCGGGTCCGGCCTGTCGCTCGTCTCTCTGCCAAGTCCCGGAGCCATCCTGGATCAAACCCAGGCCAACCTGACCCAGCGCATCCTGGACAAGCTGGGCGAGGGTTTGGACGTCGGAATGTCGGGCAGTGTGGTCTACGGCCAGCGACGGGGTGAAATCAAAGCATTTTGGAGCCGCTCCAAATTTGACGAGAGCAGACAGCCGCAAGAGATTTCTAAACTACAGCCTCAACCACTGTACATGTTCAAGGAATTTATCCAAGGTGGGTGAAAGCAATAACTATAATGTCTTTATGTAAGTGTACTTGTGAAAATGTGGTGTATCTTTCATGTTGGTGTAGTGATCAATTGTCATTTTTCACAGTTTTTGAAGTTACTTTTATTTTGTATGTTGATTGTTGTGTTTTTATTTATGTCTTTAATGTGTGCATGCCGATTTTTATTCCATATTTTATTCCTTCTTATTCCATTCCATTGCAATGTAAATACTGTTATATTTGACTATATTTTTTATATTTTTCTAGTTCCCTACATGTGTTTTTAATTCTTGTTTACATGCACCACGACACCAAGTCAAATTCCTCATACGTGTAAACCTACCTGGTAATAAACCTGTTTCTGATTCTGATGTGAAAATGTGTCTGTTAATTGTGTATATTTATGTATATACTTATTTGTACATACTTTTATATATATTTATATTTTGTATTCCTCGGGATTGTGGGAAACAGTATTTCGATCTCTCACAAACTGAAAGATTGACAATAAAGTTGACTTTGTCTTTTACTAGGTATATTGAACTTCATAAATGGGAAGGAATCCCCTCCCAGCTCCCTGTTCTTCTGCCTCGGGGAGAAGTGGCCGGATAAAGACAACAGGCCTTGGGATAGGAAACTCATCACAGTGGAGGTGAGAGTACCTTTGAATTATTAAAGGTCACAGACAGTGTTGTGCTCTCACAGACCTCAAAGCAGTATTTCAGTTTGGCAGTGAAGGGTTTTCTCTCTCGCCGCACATGCCTATATCAAATTTCATGAGTGATCAAACCCACTAAATTGCTCACTCTAGAGAGCTGTAGTGAGCGGCGGCTTTCAAGAGGCAATTCTTTCTCAGTATTGATTAATAGCTCTGAGAGAACAAAGGCTGCATACCGGAGGTGACAGCTGATCCCTCAGGTGTAAAGGTGTCTCTGCTCTTCAACCACTACAGAGGAATGCATGCTGAGAAATGAGAAGCTCATACAAAAAGTTCATTTGCAGCTTGACACGTCTCATTACTCCATCTCCATCTTTCTCAAATTGCATGGCTTCTGACAAGCTGAAATATGCCTTCCTGACTTTCATCCCTAATTTGACTTCTGTTCTTCTGTGTCAGGTGGTCCTGACTTCGATGGAGGAGCTGAAAAATATGGCTGTTGGAGGCGGCGCCTCCTCGCTGCAGTCTGTGGAGCTGCAGATGTCCCTGGAGGAGATGATGGACCTGTACTGACGCACTTTGCTCATTGTTTACCCTTGTTGTGTCCTTTACCTTGCCGAGAACATCTCAGAAATAATAATGTTTACATATTTTACGAGCATTTCGTTTTACACCAAATAGATCAGGTAAAATAGTGGTGTAAATAATTGCTCTGGTGTTGTTTTTACTATAAATATATGCTTTACATAATAATAATCAGGCTCTTATCACAGAGTTCTGATTGGATATTTTATACTTATTTTTGGTGTTAGTGTTTCTGGGAATTTAAACCACTTCTCTTATATAATGTGCTGCTCTCTGATGCAAAGAAACTGAGATACATAAATGCTCTTAAACAGGCTTTTCACTCATTGTATATTCTGCCCTTTTTAAAGTAATCTGTCTCTGCTTAAAGACATTAGTACAATCTTTGCCTTGAATCTCACAGTTTGGGGTATCATTTGATTTAACAGTAACATCTTGAAAATAAACATAATGCACGTTCAAGACTTTATTAAAATATTAGAATATAATCACGTTTACAATGAAATTCACTCCTTAAAATCTACTGTAAACTTAACCTAAACCAATGTGACCTTTCTGCTGCTTTATATTATTATTATGAATATAAAGAAAAAAAGCTTTTTACATCCTATCTTGGGTCCATTCATTTGGGTCTGGGTGAGAAAACGACATTCCTTTGTTTCCAAGCATTGTCAACTTTAGCAATAGGACTTTTCCAAAATAAATATATAAATTAAACAAATGTGAGTTTTAGTTTTACTCTCCTTCCTCTGCTTCTCCATCATTCTCTGAGCCAGACTTCCTCTCCTCCGGGAGGGAAAGATCTCTCATTCCAGACATGGGGACCAGCTTCCCCTCTGAGTCCACTCCCATCGGCTGGATAATGTCTTCTCTGTGGAACAAATGAGGAGAGATGGCAAAAGTACACACATCCTTTACTCAAGTAGAAGTACAGATACTCGTGTTTAAAAATACTCTGGTAAAAGTAGAAGTACTGACTAAACTTCTTTACTCAAGTAAAAGTAAAGAAGTATGGGCTTCGAAATGTACTTAAGTAAAAAGTACCCGTAACTACCAACTGTTTTAAGGAGTAACTGACCTCCCTTTATATGAATAGAACAATCATGTCATTGTTAGCTAATGAATGTTTCCATGCTGAACAACGGCAACATGACAACGTTTTCATTGGTCCCTCTTCTTTAGAGAAGACCAGGAAATGATGGATACACGGATCGTGTTCAAATCAATAGGCACGCAATGACTCTAAATAATAATGATCACGCCACCAAACACACATTCAAACTAAAGTAACAAACCTGTTTGGAAAATGTAAAAAGTAGAAAGTACAGGTATTTGTGTTCAAAATGTAAGAAGTAAAAGTCAAAAGTCGTCAGAAAAATAATTAGTAGAGTAAAGTATACCAGATAAATGTACTTAAGTACAGTAACAAAGTATTTGTACTCCACTACTTCCCACCTCTGCCAATGAGGGATGAAAAACTCATTCACATTTAAAAATCAGTATTTACATTAATCTTATTGATTTCGTTTGATGTTACGGTTGTTGAAACTGACCTGGACAGCTTGTTGAAAAGCATGAAGAGCCTCTTGGCCTCCTCCTCCTTCTCCTCCTCCGTCATGCCCTCCATGGGGTCGGGTTGCTCCTCCTCCACCCTTCCTGTCACCGGGTTGATGCGATCTTTGACCTGCCGGTACTCCTCAGTGTCCGAGTCCGAGTCGCTGGAGTACTGGGCGTAAGAGCTGAGGGTCCTGGAGCTCTGGCCCCCCAGCAGACCCCTGGTGGCCAGGAGACCCGCTGCGTTACCATAACCTGTGTACTTCACAAAGCGGCCCACTGGAAGAAGATGTGAAGGTGGTGTTAAACTATTAATAGTTTGTGACAGATATCTGATCAAAATTCTGCTAATATCCAGCAAGAAAGCTATCACTAGGAATTGGGGTAAGGAAGCACCACCAACGAAAAACCAATGGGTAACAGTTGTGGAAGAAATCTTTTTGATGGAAAAACTGACTGAGATTACAAGAAACACAACTCAACAGAAAGTGGGGAAAATGGACTCTATACAAGACTCAAAACAAAGACATTTGAATGGAACAATAGCTAATAATATAATAACATGAAGACATATCCCTAGCCTTTTATTTAATTTTAAATGTTGTAATGCCTTGCTGGCCTTTTGTAAAAGTATTATTATTATGTTGTTGTAACCAGCATGTTAATACCATGTATATTGTGACCATAAAGATTTACATTGCAAAAAAACAAAACATTAATAGTTTCAAAAATATACTTTAAATAAGAAACAGACTTGTGAGAAAGACTGACACGCTTTTCTAAGGGTCTCTGATGCATGTTGTGCTTAAAAGCACTGAAATGTGTTTTAAATTCTGTAGTGGAGAGCCCAAAATGTGAAAATATGAAGAATAATAATGTGTCGTCTTACCATTTTCCTTGCAGAGGACAAAGATGAGGTCAGCAGCGCAGTGTTTGAGATCTGTGTCCAGGTTGGTCATGAGGCGGATCAGACGACTCTTCACCGTGGAGCCTTCCTCCGGCCTGTGTGACGCGTCCCTCAGAGGAGGAAGGATCTAATGAAGAGGATACAACATAGTTTAAGTGTGAGAAGCACAATGCTTTCTCTGAGGTATGGTGTTTCGGGGGGGGTATTACATGTTTCCTGATGTAATGGCGGGTTTCTCTGTGGGCTCTGCAGCACTCTGTCAGCAGATTGAGGACCGGGGTCACCTTCTCTTTCAGCTTATTACCCTGAGAAGCAACAAATAAAGAAGACCTCAGGTTATTTCAGTCTTACTCAGAAGCGTGTTGCACTCTTCCTTGTTCATGTGATGTTTTGGTGTTGTTGTTTTTTTGTTTTGTTTCTTTCCGTTAACTGTAAAGTGGGAACTACGGATTTCTTTGTACGTTTTTGTGTTTCTCTTATTTTCCTACGATAATGTTATGATTGGCTGTGAATAAGAAAATATGAAGGACAGACCATCTATTTCTATTTATTTAATTTTTGTTGAGAAAGGGGCAGGTATTATATGATTATTTTCTTCTCCCTGCTCCTTTTCAGGTATGGTGTGTTTTCGAGGACATGTTTTGTAAATAATTGTTATGCATTAAGTTGTGCATACCATCAACGGAACAATTAAAAATGAAATGAAAATGTTAACTTTTTTAGGCACAAAAACGTAATTGTATCACTTCCTCCCTCACCAGCTCCAGGCGTTTCTCCATGAACATCAGCAGGGTCTGAACACAGTCCATGTTGACCCCCTGGCACTGCATGGAGTCTGGCTCCAGAGGCACCGTCAGCATCACATCCAGACACTGGAGAGGCAGCGCGGACAGCAGGTTCACCGTGTGGCTGTGGGAGGGAGACAAGATTTAAAGAACAGACTGCAAACATTTATAAAATAGAGCGCAAAGGCAAAGCAGTCGGTTCAGCTTGGCAGTTTTTTTATGAAAGAACTGTTTTTTTTTAAAAATGGTCAGAGAGAATGTAACACTAAAGATTAGGTACATGACTATAAACCATAGTATCCATGTCATTTAGACCTGGCCATTTATACCATTGAAGCTCATTTGAACTATAGTTAAAAAGAATGTGCATGAAAGTATTTAATGAAATACAAATTGGAAACCTGCAACTTATTATTACCAAATGCATCAGTTTTGTTGTTATAAATAATGATTAATGGTGATTTTCATTGCAATTTCATTTCCCATAAACCACCTTTGGTTCATGCTCACCCCTGCAGCTCATCAGTGTCGTCTGAAAGCAAACACTCCTTCATCAGGCAGAGACGCAGGATCGCCACCAGATGACGGTAAAGAGCTGCATCATCCTGAAGGAGGAGGAACACACAGTGCAGAGGTTATATTTATTGTCCTAATCCACCATTACACCTAATGGATTGATAATGGACTCTTGGCACTGACCTCACTCGGCTCCTGCCTGTGGGCGCTGTGGGTGATGTTGAAGAGGATTTTGAGGATCTCTATGATTCGCTGAGAGGCCTCCAGAGAGATGGGTGGTGCTGCGGGGTCCAGCACACACTCATACTGCTCCTTCCACTGGACCTGCAGGCAGCTCTCCAGAGCGGCTGTGAAGATGGACACACCTCCCTCCTGCAGAGCAACATAGGGAGATAATGCTCAGAGGGGTAACACTTCAACCTGTAGCAATACTAGAATAAACTGATGGTGGAAGGACCCCAGGGGTTGTTACATGATATACCACATATTAAAACTACCATAACAGTTACCATTCTACACATTTAGTACGGTAACTTTGTAATAAGTGAAGTACTGGTTAAAGCTTTTATGCTCCAAGGCACATCGACTATACGCTATTGCCCTTTAAAATTAAACTGAAAAGATCACTTTTTAGCAGCGCCCAAGAGTAGTCTGGTTGCTTTCTTAATTATTTGATTGTATTCTTACTTATTTTAAGTGTTTTGTAGTTTATTCTACTTTTTTTATTGGGTTTAACTCATTTCTTGTCAACTGTTTACTTAGGCTACTTAATTATTTTGGTTTTGATTTTCACGTCTTATTATTTCTTACTTGTTGCTTGCTGATCCTAATGATTTTAACGTTTCATTCCACCTTCTCTTAATGGTCAGGTCAGGTGTATCATTTATGTGTCTGTTTTAAGCTTTTTGTGTCTTATGTCTAATGTACATTATAAATAACATTTTGCGTGCTTGTTTACCTTTTGGAGCTGAGTGCTGAGCTCCCGCCTCAGAGCAGTCATGAGGAACATGAGGCGTAGTTCATAGAAGTGAACACTGGAGGGAGACGAGAAACTGACAGCGGAGGAAAGACGCTCTGTGAGGCCACAAATGAGCCTGATGGAGAACAAAACAAGAGGTTAGATCTCTGCAAATATTCTGATTTGTATAAAAGCCAGCAGAAAGTCATGACAAAGTATATATTAATAGTGTCACTGAGATTAGATACACAGAATTGTGTTTCCTGTTCACTCCAAATTGACAGAAGACTGCCTTAATTTAACCATGCAGTGTTAGAGCCAGTACTTTGTTTTTATAAAAAGGCCACCTAATCGTGACGCCTGTAGTCAACCAGAGTATAAAAGACTACAATTCCCATGGCGCCTCCTCTAAAGTGACAGTGATGGGCAACCTGTTAGAAAGACACCGTCGAGGCACAGTTTTTAACCATTCAATTACCCTTTAAGTTATCAAGTTATATAAGCCTTAACAAACAAAGAAAGCAAGAAAGAATACTTAAGTTGTTTATTTGAGTTTTGCCTCTTTGTTTTAACTATGGTGAAGGCCTCTTTTCTTTATTGTGTAAAAGTTTGTTATCTTATTTTGAGTAAACCCATTGCATAATATCATCCAAACCATCGGAGGCCAAGCAACTCTTCAACTGTAAGTAACACAAATATAAAGAAAAGAAAAAGAGTACAAATTGTCTGTTTAAGGCGTCTAGTGGCTTGATGGAAAAATAAGGAAGGAAGCCACGACATGCAGGTAATAACAGATATATAGACCCAGAAATGCAAAGCAAGCGGCGGTGTTTATCAGTATTTGGAATTGACGTGTGTCTCTGAGGAAAACCCACCTGAGAGCACTGAACCTCTCCTGCGCCCAGCTGCTGTTGTACACCACGTTACACAACACCTTCATGGCCTCTTTCCTCTGAGCCTCCTCTCCTGACTCGCCTCCCTCCTCCTCTTCCTCCCCGCCAATCTTGCTCACTCTGCGGTCCTTCTTCCCTCTCTCCAGCACATTAGGATGGATGCCCTCTGTGGTGCTGATGGTTTCCTCCTCAGAGAAATCTTCGTCTTGGTCATTAGCTTCAATGTCACCCTCGTCCTCTTCGGTGCCACAGGGCAACACTTTGGCTTCAGCGAGAGAAGCCAGGATGTTGTCGTAGAAATCAGAGTCGCTGGTGTCGTCACTTGCATCACTTTGGGTCAGCCCGGCTAGTTTTGCGAGCGCCAGGAGAGCGCTGTCGGTCACCAAGGGGCCCAGGACCTTTTTGTCTCTGGAGAGGATCCTCAGGGTGCGTAGAGAGACTCTCAACAGAGGACATTTCACTTCTGCTCTAATGTACCTCACCAGGACAAGAGCTAAGTTCTGAGGACACAAAAACAGACATTCAGTTGAACAACTTTCCTCACAAAGCAATACATGTAAACACTTCTGGGTAAATGATAGTGTCACCTGTCTGAGGATGAGGCCTGGATCCTCCTGGTCATACTCTTCAGAGTCAGAATCAGCGTAATCCCTCACTTTATTCTGCCTGAACTGGTTAAGCAGGGCAAAGAACAAATGTGATCAACTACAACTCAAGAAGTAGTTAAAGGGTGTGCAAACAAGAGAAAGACTTGAACATTGTTTGTGCACTGCGGCAGTACTGTACCTCTTCTAGTTTTTTTTGCTTTAGGAGGTGGACAGATGTCATTGAGCAGCGCAGCAGAAGAGAGAGAAAACAATATACGTTTATTTGTATGTCATCATTGGGAATTAGGGGGCGATATTTCATTACGTTTCATACCTATATGTTACCATACGGAGATCTTACAATCTAATAAGAGTTTATTCTTAGTAGATCTTTACAAAGCTGCTGAGAAAACTTTTTCTGTACTAAGAAAAGAGACGTTGTTGCTAGATGAAATCATGTTTTGAATTTTTTACCAACTATTTCTACAGTCATTGAGAGGAGTGGTCTGTCAGTGGATCTAGATGGATCAATACATAAGAGACTGAAAAGGAACTGAATAAATAAGATGAAAAAATATATCGAATACAATTAAAAATATATCAAATTTAATAAAAAAACTAAACATTACATGCATTATTTGTTGGTGGATTTGTTTTTTAGATTTCATTATTATACAGCTGTTGAATGGCTGTAAACGACAGAGCTGAGGGTTGAATAGATTAACACTAATTGCAGTATGTTGTTTATTTAAAGCCTGGGGCTCAATCTGTCTAGGGACTCAAGGAGAGAGGATCAGGGATAACTGATACAGCACAATTACTAATCACACACAGACAGTGAAGACAGCTTTAAGGACTTAGGCCAGGGATATGATGATTCACTTTCTCAGAGGTGCAGAAGCATACAAACGTACTTTTCTCTTGTCCCTCTCCTCTGAATCAAAGAAGAAGCACTGGGCATACTGTAGAGAGAAATGACGACAACTTAAGGTCTATCAGCAGTGTATTTGACAGACACAACAATGTTTGGGCTTATGTGAGGGGGTTACCTCTTTGTTGAATTCCTCCAGCCGTGTCTGAACACCGCTCTCATCCCCCTGCTTGATACACTGGATAATCCCCTCCAGGTCCACGTCCATGCTTTTCTGAGCACACACACACACACACACACACACACACACACACACACACACACACACACACACACACACACACACACACACACACACACACACACACACACACACACACACACACACACACACACACACACACACACACACACACACACACACACACACACACACACACACACAGGGAGAGGAATAATCATTCAGTCCATAAAGAAATTGAAGTTACACAACAATCATTACGAGGATGGTCGTGGGTGCCGGAGGTTATGCAAGATTAAAAACATAGTAATTAAAACACATCATGTACAGGATCGAGAAAGTATGAATATAAAACAATAAATGTGACAGTAAGAAGTACAAATTACACACTTCCTACAAACATCTTCACAACAACCACATCTATTTAATCACTAATAAATGCTTCCTGTCTACTGGAAGCTGCATCTACACATGACACTTTGTTACACTAATATATATTCTTCACACACATAAATACTTTAACTCCACTGTTAAAATTTACCTTGTGCAGGTCCCTTAATCAGCCAGGTGTGAGATAAGTATATTTTAGAATAATATACCGTAGCTGTGCCAAGACCCCCTTAAGTTCACCTATGCTCAACTAGTATACAACGCTCTGCCTTCAAATTTACTCGACTCAATGGCTTTCCAGTTATCCTCGTGCACTCAGCGTATCTACGCATCTCTCTCCCTCTCTCTTTAATCCAAGAGGGATTCAGGAGCCATGGCGTGGTTATGCTTATAATCCACTAATGGACTCTGGGCTTATATCTTGCAGTGTTGACCCGTTAACCTACAGCTTTACCAGACGCTTTCTCTTTCTGTGTCCAGCTTTAACACACTCTTTCCCTCAAATCTCTTAATAGCATATGAACCATGCTGAAAGAACCATCCAGATCTTTTATTTTTTTATCACGCCTCTCTTGCTGTTGCATAACCACACTGTTGCTAAGCCGGACTTTGAAAACGTGTCTTATAAATGCATCTGTAGGGTCAACAAAGACAATGTCAATATTTCTCATCCGATAGATTAACATGTTACAGTTTTTATAGAATCATGTACATAAAAAAGGTACAGTGACTTATACTGTAGGATAAAGCTGTTTGTGTCTAGTCCCACAAGATGGGGCTATTCTCAAGGTTGAGACAATCAAACCATACAGTCTGATGAGATAATGTCTCTATTGCACAATATGAGTTCATTTAAAACATGTTTCTATTGCAAATGAACTTAGAAAAGGCTGCTTCATGAGATCAGATGTAATAGAAATCAAGCTGTAGTGGATGAGAGCAAGAACAAGGATTGAACTCTCAAATGATACTAGTAAATGTTGTTGTTATCGATGCAGCTCACCTATGTTCCCCTGTTATTCACAACGCACTGTAAACATGGTTCACACACAAAATGTGTTGAGGGCCCTGAAAGATGAACTCCGTGAGAAGATGACATGCGAGTGAACGACAGGCTTTCCTGGCAGGATGCTCACTCTTGTGCCCAGTGGGTAGAGGAAGCAGGGCCGGCTGGTGGATGCAGGTTTACAACAACAGGATGCACAGTACGTCAGCGAGAGTGGGAGGAAAGTCAGGGGAGTCCTGACAAAGTGCTCTCAGGGAAGCATGTTCCTTCAAGATGAATTACACACTTAAGATGTAGGATATCAACAGGTGATGACCCCCAGTAGCCTTTTAAAACAGTTGAAGAAAACAGCTGTTGTGTTGTGCAATCCAGGAATAGGCGTCCAACATCGTGACACAGACTGACATCATTACTTTACCGTCATAACGGCCGGGACACAAAATACTGCATGTAGACCAAAATCCTCTGACAAATAAGAGCAAGGGTCAATCGACTTCAATGTATCTGTGTTTATTTGTCATAATAAACCATTCAAAAAATGTCCATTAAGGACGAATATGGGGTGAACATTTTTGTTTGCCTATTCATATATTGAGGATTTTTCAATAAGGATGAAAATTAGTTTTAAAAAATATATATTTTAAAAAGCATACCCAGGACAAATTATTATTCAAAGAGTTTCTTTAGATGTAATTGAACAAAACAAATGTTTTATTTTCTACAGATGGATTCCTAATTCCTTCTAAATGTCACAGCATTGAGCAAAAAAGATCATAATAAAGAGGGATACAAAAAATATGTTCCAACTTGTTTCGTATTGCAACAGTAGTGCAACTGAAACATTAGGAAAAAGAGTCAAAATGGAAATCATAATTTACTAAATGTGATGTCATCAGATAAAAGTAGTAATGATGATAATTAAATCATCAAAACAGTTGCAGATCAACCTGCTTTTGATTGACTGATCCATTCAATAACTCATTGTTTGAGACGTTATTATTAGTGACACAGTTTATTTTCTATTTTAGTATGCATAGTATTTTTTTTGGCTAAGCTTGGAAGCAGCAGGTGTACAGGAACTGTGATTGACTTTGGCACAGAACGCCTTTAGTCATGCAGTTGTAACCTTTGTAGAGGTTCACAGATTCACACACTTCCAGTGCTTAATTGTCTTGGAAATCACAGGACTGCTTAATCATTTCACAGCTCTCATGTGCACGTGCAGCAGCGATGACTCAGTGCAAGACTCTGAAGACAACGTGCACAGGAAAGCTACACAATGGAGTCGAGAGGGGAAGTTGTGATTCACAGAGAGGGAGAGAGGCTGGGAGAAACAGAGAGGAGCTTGGACAATTTGAAACTGGTTCCCCACGGATTGACTGTATAAATAGATTATGAATTACAGGATCCTTTCCTCGAAAGATAATAACATGTGGCCTTGTGCCAAACCTAAAAAGTTCTCTTACGTCTGTCACCATTTATAAGTGGACAAACAAAGCTTAAAAAACATTCTTGGAATCTATACCTTTATCAGATTATCTGTAAAACCAGATGTATGATGAACAAGTTGTTTTTGAAACACTGTATGTGAGTGAAGGACATTTCAGTAATAAACACGGTGAAGGCGAAGGTGACTCGAGGGAAAAAGGCACAGGACAAATAGGCCGATAAAGAAAAGCCTGGAGGAGAATCAGGGTTATTTTGGGCCCTGCAGGCTTCCTGCAGGTGATGGAAATGAAAGAGCGATTTCTGGAACAATTGCTCAGCAGCAAGTGGAGTGAAGGAGAGGGATGGAGGAGGAAGTGGAGTAGGAGGGGGGGGGGGGGGGGGCGGAGAGTGAACATCAGTAATCAATGTAAACATCATGAAAGGTACAAGGTCACTTCAAGTATAAATACAATGCTGAGGTTCTTTATAGATTGTTTACGTTATGTATCGCAGCTCTTATAAATAAAGAATAAAACTGCCACGAGAGCTGATTAATTACAGAGTGTGTGAGTCGGTCTGACTGTGTAATGACTACCTTTCAGACACACCCCCTCACCCTATAAAGGACCAAAAGTGGAGAGGGGTGACAGACTTGGGCATCCAACAATCAGCAAGAGACTTCGAATGGTTTACTCCAAAAGAAACAGCAGTCTCTGGGATCTTCTTGGTGGTAAGTTTCAACTTGTTTAAACTATTGTTTAATTCATAGTTGTTACCTATCTTGATAGTTCCCTTCACAAAATCTTCTGTCTGTTTTTTACAACTAACATGGTGTTCAATTTGGTCAGGACAGGATGTTTTCCTCAGCATCACTCATACCTTCTTTTTTTCCCCGCCACACAGGCCAGTGCGGTATGGAGATAGCCGTTTTGCTGCTGCTGACTGTGCCTTTGAGTGCTGCCTCACCACTTAGACCGACTCACAGGTCAGTGAAAACATCAGTAAATATACAGCTAATGATGAAAGTGAAAGACTGACAGTAACCATAATGGTGTGTCAATCACAGCTTGTTAATCTTTAATGGAATATTAAAAAACTTCTGCCTTAAAAAAAAAAAACATTGGAAAACCTGTCAACAAATGTTCATCTCTACAGTCATGCAAATCAGAGTTGTTGTGTGCGTGCCTACTTTAATAAGTACCTTTTTCTGATGGTCCGACAGGTCAGAAGCAGACACTGTCCTCACAGGGGACTCTGTCCAGACTTCAGGGGTGAAAAGGTCAGAGGACACAGATGAGCAGCATGCTCCAGCACTGAGGATCATCCCATTTCATTCAGAAGTCCAACATCCAGACCTAGAGGCACTGAAACACAGGTACGAAAAAGTATATACATTCACAATATAGCATGAGTAGTACCAGTACATGGAATAGTTAAACCCTTCCGTTCTCCTGACATGTCACATTAAATGTCTAATGATTTATGCACCATGAAAACTGTAGTGTGTATTTTAGTTATACTAATTATGGCTGAGCGCAAACCACAATTGTAGGTTGGTGATTTATTTTAAAGAAGTTATTGTCAAGTGAATATATGGGATGATTTAAAAGCCTAATTTTAATTTTCTCCTCTTCTTCATTGACAGAATGGCAGAGAAGCTACGTCCTCGGCGTGCACCCCGAGGATGCCATCTCGGGACATGCCAGCTTCACAACCTGGCTGACACTTTGTACCACATCGGCAAAACAAGTGGAAAAGAGGAGTCGAAAAGGGCCAATGACCCGCAGGGATTCGGCAGATAGGGCCAGGAGGAATGGCGGCACTTAAGGACTGATAACATGGAGGGTTCTCAACATATTCTCCATCTCTCTACAACCAAATATCTCTGATTCTGTTCTGACTGACTGGTACTTTATAAGGATGTATGCTCATTAACCAAAGAGAATTTGGATGTATTGAAATGCTTAATCATATTACTTTTTAAAATATAAATTCCTCATTATTTAAATGCATTGTATAATAAATATTTAATATAAAAAGTGTGTAATAATCTGCAAGGGTCTGGAGAAAAGTTGGAAAATTCACTTTGCATAGATCATTGATGCATCGATTAAAAGAGTCTTAAAATTGCCCTATTTATTTCTCTTTTCTTTTTTACCTGGATGACCACATTCATATATTCTGCAAAAGGATACTGCATTTTAAGGTGTATGGAAGATTGAATTATCTGTCCCACTTTCCATGCTGTAAATCCAGGCTGACCAGGCTGTGATATTTTTAGGCAACCTTGACAGAAGCAAACTGCTCAATGCCCATGCACGTGGCTTCAGTTGTCCCGCGAGTTAAAGTATCGTCAACATATGTGTCATCAGCAGAGGTGGAAGAAGTACTCACATCCTTTACTCGAGTAAAAGTACACATACCATAGTCTTAAATACTCCGTTACAAGTAGAAGTCTTAAATATGAAATGTTGAAAAAGAAAAGAAGTACAGAATTATCCGCTAAATGTATTTACAGTCAAAAGTGTTATATCATATTTTATAAAACGGACAAGTCAAATCAAGCAATCTGATTGGTTCTTAGCCGTGATATACTGAGCGTATACCACGGGTAGAATTGTAAGTTAATTTTCACAACAAGTCAGTATCCCTCCACGTCTGAGAAAAACAGTATACCGTTGGGCTGAAAAGAACTGGAACAAGAAAGCAGCGGAGAAGTAACGGGGCAGAAACCCTCCTTTTTACGCAGCGGTCCAGACATAGACATCAAACGGCAAAACATATTCAGTGTGCAGTTCCTTTGGCATTAGGGCAGGGATATCTAGATACTTTCCAAGGTTTGACATCATGAATTGTGCTACTTTTAAAGCAAGCAACGATGTTTTCATATCTGTAATCAAAGAGGTCCGCAAAAACACTATCGACCAATCAGATTGCTTGATTTGACTTGTCAGTTTTATAAATATATTTCCATTTCTTCCATTACGAAACAATTTACAAAGCATAAGATGGAAACATTTAAGATTCACTTCGACCTCCGGGGGGGTCTTACTATGGAGGAGTGGATTGAGGAGTGCCTATCTCCAGGGGAAAAAAGCACCTAAACGACGACATGCAGAGCTACGTGAAGAGCAGGTAGACCAACTGGAAAAGTAGCAACATTCAAAAGCTTTCTGATGCGGCTCTTGAAACAAAGCAGAGAAAGTATGACCGTTAGTGGCCACAGGTGCGAAAGCTCTCTCCAGAGCTACTGGAAGCCACATCTCCGGGACCGGAGAAAGTGGAGCAATATTCTCACCACGCCAAGCAACAGCCTAGAACAACCTCAACCTATACAAGTAACCACGTAAGCCATGCTACTGATGCTGGACAGTTTTTCAGTGGGTGCACAATAAACGGCAACATACAAATGAATGTAAATAAATAGCCAAATAATGGATCAACGCTCTCTGTCTAATATTTTCGCTAGCTGTAAGTGTTGTTGCATAGCAACCACCTCGCACTATGTTTCGTGCAGAAGGCAAGGGAGGGACTATTTTATTTTGAACATCATTATTTACTAATAAAAACTATTTAAATTAGAGTGTGTATTTTTCTTTCATATTGCCACACTTGGTAACCGTTTTATAAAAGCAATAGCTTGCGTCGGGCCGAACCACGCCCCTTAGCTGTGATATAATGAGCATATAGCCTACCACGGCCTGTCGTGAGCTATTGCTTAAATGTTATCCTGTTTTTATCACCAACAAATACATCAGACAGTTTATAGATTTGATATCTTCCCGGTCATCTGTATATTTTTCTTACTCTCTAATGCTGATTTATTTCTATTTCTGTTTTATGATGTCTATATTTTAGAATGGTTTATTTCTACTTTTTTTATTTGGTATTATGTAATGCCTTGTTTGGTTTTGTACATTATTAATCCCAAATTGAGATGATTAAAGTAGGCTACATTTTATTTTATCTTTCTGAGGCTAACGTGGTTAAGTTTGAGAATATTATTAAGGAATACAAATCCCTCTTTGCAATGTTTACCAGCCTCCGTAGGCTTTTCAATCAAAATCATTCAACTGGAATAAGTGCAATATTGATACAAATTGATTACATGAACATAAGATGTTATGTTCATTGTTTAAAGGTATTCTATTGGGAACTCGGTACTAGAAATATCACACTGTTGAGATGTCATATCCGCCTAAGTAGCCTACTTTATTATCCGGAATATTTTATATTGTTTATATTTGATATAATACTTTTCATTGTGTTTGTAATTGTTAATTCTCTTATACCACTTTTTAAAGTATTTAAAGTATATAATATAAAGTCTGAACCGGTCTGAACACACTTCTGCTTCTGTGACGAAAGAATTTCCCAACAAATTGGCAGGAAATCTTAAAAGCTTCGTAAGGCTTCATCTCACCATCCCTAGATAATAACAATTATATGAACTCATGAAGAGGTTTATAATCAGCAGCTCTCAGACAGTGGGGGTGACTGGCTCCTCCTGTTTTAAAGTGTTGAGGAAAATTGCAAATGGTGAGCCTCTTGTGAAACCACACCTTCACCTGTGTGTGGTGTGTCTGCGGCACACCTTGATTCCTCTCTGGCTGCTCAGAAATGTTTGGAAATGGCTCTTCCATAGCTTCAGGTTTATTCAACCCAGTATTTTAGCATACTCACTATAAAATGGGCAGACCGAAACTGTGAAGTCTTTCTTCTCCTTATATCTCCCACTGGGGAACATAGAAAGGAAACACAATGAGAGACACAGGAGAAGGGGGAGGCGAAAATAAAATCGGCAAATCTGAGAAGGACCAGGTAGGCTCATAATCTCTCTGTTCCGGGCGTGATTTCATGCACGTATTTTACGGTTACAGTTTAATAATAGAGGAATTTAAGTGGACGTTGTGATACAAGTTGTGGCTGGTTATTCCCCGAGAGGATCTGAGTCACAGTGACGCGAAGGGCAAACAGCAGAATCAGCTGGTCGAGCAGGAGCTAATACTCACGGTTTATGACGGACGCATGGACGACAGAAAGTAGCATTGCAGCTGTGTGTTTGTGTGTAAACAGACCCGCATTTTGTCGCAAATGTACCTAAAAAGAAGCTCGTGCTCATATCTGTGGATAGTTGTCAAACCGGCGGAAGTTAAGCTAGCTCACTTTGTTGCGGAAGAGAAATTACTGTTTAACATTTTAAAATATACAACACTAACGGCTAATTTGCCGGTTAGAGTCATTGACAATTGTAAACAAGAGCTTCATAGGGTTGCTTTTTACCTACTTAATGTTACTTTAACTTTATTCACCCTAACTCTGACTGTACAGACAAAGATAAGAGTACGCCCCTTATTGTACTGTACTACCCAGCCTTTCACCAGCTAACGTTACAGTACATAGCCAACTAGTGGAAGAAGTATCAATACATTATTGTCAAAATACTTAATTAATAGTAAAAGTCTTACTTAAGAAAATAACAAAGTTATTATCAGCAAAATGTACTTAAATGTAATCATGTGCAGAAAAATTGCCTTTATGTGTTTATATTATTATTTATATGTGTGACATCTCTAGATAATAGTGTTGCATCAATTAGCATGTTACTGTTGTAAACAAACACAATTCTGAGTAAATGTCCTGCTATCAAAATGTTAATCAAGTAAAATAACACAAGTATTGGCACCAAAATGTACTTTAAGTACCAAAAGTAAAAGTACACATTCTGCAGATTGGCCTGTTTCAGAATAATATATTATATGTTTTGATTATAATTATTGATGCATTCAAGTGTTATCAAAGCTGGTGAAGGTGCAGCTAGTTTTAATGACTTTGCAGCTGCAGGGTAGCTTTGGAATGTTACTCCAGATGTGAAGTCGTATAGTGTTGTTTTGTATTTCAAAATATTAATCAAAATCTGCACCTATGAATTCTGGTGGGGGACAAGTACAAAGTAGCAACACATTTAAATACTCCAAGTAGAACTCAAGTATCTCAAAACATTTCTTAAGTACTGTAAATGAGTAAATCTACTTAGTTACTTTACACCACTCGTGCCACCTTTTGATAACTTTGTAAGCATTAGTGGTAAAATGACTCAGATCCTCTTCTTAAATAAATGTACTAATACCACAGTCTTTACATACTACATTACAAATATAAGTCCTGATTTTGAAAATGTTAATTAAGTAAAAGTACAGAAGTATTGTAAGCTATATCATAGCTTGAAGTTAAAGCCTAACAAACATAGCCGCTGTTAATACCGGGAGATAAACATTCAAAAGATAAAACAAATATCTGTTCAGAATATAAGGATTTTGGCTCAGGTCTCACAACAAATATTTTCACTTGAAAGCACAGGTGTTAATAATAACAGAGCTGCATTCTGTTTAGGTGTGTCAGGTCTCAGGTAAGTGATTGTGCCCAATGCTTCCCTTTCCAGTCCAGTGTGTAAAACGTGTCCAGTGGGGCCCCTGCAGAATGTAGCCTCCTGGATGCACAGTAGATACCTGTGTACAGTAGTGGCCTACGTGCCCACCACACACACTCGCACTCTTACACACACTTTAGAAACTTGGTCTGAAACTACAGCACCATGTCAGAATTCACAGCCAGGTGTTCAGACACAGAACCTCTCACCAGCTTATCACCATCTCTGAGCCAAAGTCAAAGTTCTCACTTTAACATTTTCTTACGCCCTACTGCCACATGGTTTCCAAGCATAAAAGGGTAGGGATAGAGTTCTTAAAGTGGTAAAAGCCTGTGTTTAATTTCAGTGTGTTAACCTTTTGAAAATGTTTTCAGAGTTGGATCCCCAAGATCATCAAGAAGAGAGTGTGCACCACCTTTGTAGAAGATTCTCTCAGGTACTTTGAACTCTGTGCAGCACATTCCTCTGTGACAGTAATGTCTATTTATTGTGCCGAGGCGTCAGGATGATCATGTTTTCACATGCGTTATCCTCTCACCTCTCTCAGTAATGGCGCGCGGTGTCAGTGCGGGGGTGCGAGAGATGACCACGGCTCTGTGGCTCTTGGAGACTACTTCAGCACAGCGATTGTCAACCGCTGGGTCAGCGCCCAGCACTCCTCTGAATATCCCACTGATGCCTTTGGGGAATTGCAGTTTGCAGGAGCCAGCAAGAGGCACAGCTATGTGGGTGGCTTTTTGCTCAGTTCTGTTCTCTGAATGGCTCATTTAATGTTTGTCTCTATATTTTTAGATTTTATGACCAAATCTATTCTGTTTTTAGACAATTAAGATTCCAATGCACCTACTCTGTAGTTATCAGTACTTTCCCCTCCTTTATCCTTAACCTACTGCTGCACCTGAACACAAAGGGATCACATATATTTACTGATAAGCTACATTACAATTTGACCACATAGGACAGTTATAATACAATCAAGCACACATTTTATAATTAAATTGAAGTCAAATTTGTGTTTTATCCTCTACCCGTTTCAATGTTTTTTGTCTCTTTGGGATATCAGTACCTGCGTCTGTCATGGGACACCCAAGCGTCTATGGTCTACACCCTGATGACGGCTCACTGGGGTTTTTCTGCTCCTAACCTGGTGGTCTCTATAGTGGGCGGAGAAGGCAGGACAAAGGTGAAGACTTGGGTACGAGAAGTCCTCCGGCAGGGACTGGTGAAAGCCTCACAAAGCACAGGTAAACATTGTGAAAGCCAAATGAACTTTGAAGTGGCTAAACTGCAAACACTGCTATGAAGGTGGGTCATAGGTTACAGGCCAGTTAAACCCATGCACACTTTTATCACTGTGACTTTAAAATTCCTTGGGAAGCGATTTGTCTACAGCCAGCATATGATTTCATAATTTACAGACTGGTCCCCTTCACATTTAAAATAATTGTTTTGATGGGTGTGACTGTGCCCTAAATTCAGGAAATCTGCATCTTGCATTTAATATTGCATTGTTTCCTCAATAGTGCATAACATGTTTGAAAACAATCTTACATTTAATCTTAATATTTCCCCTTGCCTTAAACTTAACTTAATTCACCACCTTTCATTGGTTAATTCATTCATCAATTTTTAGTTGCTAGCTTTAGCCGCATAGTTCAACATTTCAGCAGGAATTATTGTTTTTACAGATGGGAATTGCTTAAGAAACCTGATATATGATTCTGGGTCATACCATCTTCACTGGTTCATCATAATACTTACTTACCTATTATACTGTGTATTTGGTTTTCAAAAAGGTCTTAAATTAACTAAATTAACCTTGAAGAAAGCCTTAATTTGCCTTATGTTTTATTTTTCCCTTATAAAACAAATGCTTCTAACGGCATTTAACTTCATATGTCTAACCTTTATAGCCGTATGTAACTTTATTTAAGTCTTTTTTTCCCCTTATGGTAATTATAGTATTTTGCCCACCTCTTTTACATTTTAATCTCAACATTTTCATTAAAGATTAAAACATTAAAATCAGCATAATTTCATTATTTTGTAATGTAGATAGAGAGAGATGCACATTAAGTCCTCTAAAATGTGTAAACATTTCTAGGTAACAATCTATTCATGGATTTTCTTGAATGACACAGAAATACTCATGGTGCTTTTAGCAGGAAAAATGCAGCTGTTACAAAATGTAGTAGCAGTCCAGTCTAGGACTCCCTGGGGTCCGATCCTAATTTGGTACGACAATGGCCGTTTCCTCCTCACTCCTGTGCCAGATGCAGGTGGCAAACAGCGATACTGATCTCCTGTCACCGAGGTCACTTTAACAAGATGTCTCCAAACACATTGTTTATACACAACACTGTGTAGATGTGTGTGTACCAACAAGGACTGTTGACATGGACATAAAATATCAAAACAGTAGTAAACATTACGTAATAAATATATATTTAGCAAAGTAAACAGATGTTAAAAGTGTGTTGAGGCTGTATGTATATATGTATCTCCGTGATAGTAGCTTTTGATGCGTTTTATTTTCCATGTTAACTTTTCTTTTTTAAGGTTCCGATGGTTAGATGTTGTTACTTAGCATTTTCCATGATAAAACACTTAACACAATGTCTATGGTTCTTGAGTATAAATGACTGTCCATCTCAAATAGACTAGATTAGATTAGTCCTAATTGAATATGTAAGCTTATTTACAATTAATTTGAAGGCTTTTGTAAATAGGTCTTGGTCATTTACCTGATAGTCAAGAGGTAAAAATGTTAGCTTTAAACGGCAAATTCTTATGACATTTCTCTTCCTCTTAAGAAGTTACAGCTACCACACAGTTTCTGGTTTCTTCTCCCCCTCACTGTTTGTCTGCTCTTCCCAGGAGCGTGGATCCTGACGGCCGGCCTGCGTGAAGGCGTGGGCAGGTGTGTTGGAGAGGCGGTGAGGGATCATGCCACCGCAGCCTCGTCTGTGTCCCTCAACAAGGTGGTGGCGCTGGGTATCACTCCCTGGGGCTTCGTCCACAATCGAGAGCAGCTGGTCAACCCTCAGGTTGGACAGGTTTTCCTATACTTCATTTACAAATCTGCACTAATTATTCTAAATGAGGAAAAGACTAGGTCCCAAGTTTGGGGTTGAATTATTTTCTCTATTACAACCAGACCTTGTCATTAAGGGAAGATGTTGTTCAGCTTTACGTGTCAAAAGTAGAAGAACTGTAGCGTGTATTCTTCATTATCTTGGTTCCCAATTGTATTGCTTTGTTTCTTTTACTGTGATTCTATGTCGTATGTTGGAATCTAGTAAACACGGGCCTCTAATGCACATCAGATATTGACTTTATTCAAAGACACCTTGCTATATCATAACTTCCTTGTTTCTTGCTCTTGCAGGGCAGCTTTCCCGCTAAGTACTACGTTGAGAACACGTCCCGGGACTCCTGTTGCCTGGACAACAACTACCAGGCCTTCCTGCTGGTGGACGACGGGAGTGTTGAGCGCAGGCAAGAGACTGGATTCAGAGCCAAACTGGAGGACTACATCTCCCATCAGCGCACAGGCATCTGGGGTGAGAGATAATATGATTAAATATAATGTTTGGTATTACATGTGACCCGCTCTATCGAAATCAGTCGGAAGTCGCAACGGCTCATTTCAAAATAAACGTGGATTTACGTAAAAAACTATTTTTTCGGGGTTCGGTTGTTTTGTTTGATTTTAAACAAACAAAGTCTTGGCTTTCAGAATATGAAACTTTTATTTCCAAAATCACACGATAAATACATTTTTGAAGCTTGTAAAGGGACGAAGACAGGCACCTCTCCCTCGCAATCTGCTCTTCCGCAGCGCCGCCCCCCCTCCCTCCGGCTAAAATTATGAATGTAAGAGTATAGTAATCATAGATAACACGGCAGGGTCCGTTACAGTTTGTTTTCATCTGATTTCAATTAAACAAAGTCTTGGCTTTCAGAATATTAAACTTGTTTCGGCAAATTCAGGTGATAAATACAAGTTTGAAGCTTGTAACGGCATAATTACAAGCGGAGAACGGAGTAACTTAACGTCACAGCAGGCATAACAACAGCCGGTGTTTCTCGTGAGTGTTTTCCCCGGGAAACAAACACAATACACACAAACGCAAAATTACACAAACACACACACACGTATACACACACACTCGCGAGCTTCCCCTCCAAATGAAAATATCTTCCCTCCGTAGTATTTTGGTCATTTGCTCCGCTAATAATCAATCAGATCGATGGATTCCAGAGAAGAGGAAACTTTGAAGGCCTTTTTCTCAAAATGATGACTCGGTGACAGTCATTATATAATGTGACATATTTCGCTTAATATTTGGAGTACACAAACAATCCGGATATCATTAGAAAGCTAGGAATATCCTCTTTCCAACAGTGTATACAACTCAAAATGTGTCTTCGGGTCAATGCGACTGATTTCGATGGAGCAGGTCACATGTAGTATCAGAAAAGACAGTTTTTTCCCCTTCTTCACTTAAAATGTGACACCAATGACTGAAAGAAGTGTACCTTAAACTGTATTTCCTCTGTTGTTTTGTTTCCTTCCTACTGAATTGCTGGTAAAACTGGTTTTGGAGAACCATGCATGAGGAATGATGATGGATTATCTTGAATCCTGAATAAATAGTAGATTTTCAGCTTTTCTGCTGCTGCTATTATCCCTAATTTTCCTTGTACTAATGTTTCAGTAGTGTAAAGTGTATGTAAAGAAAACTAAAATATGTCCAAACGGCACAAGGCTCTTTTACCCACGAACAAGTCCTTGCTCATCCATCACCTCTTGTGGTGACTTTTTGTGTTGAAAAAATGATCCTTCGTTATCTGCAGATTGAAATCCTTTGCATGTCACTGCAGGAATCTCAGTCACAGCTCTTAAACATGTATAGTCAAGCAGAGATTTAGGCAAAAATATTTAACGGCGTGCTCCCTCTGTGTTGTTGCCTCTTACGTTACAAGGAAAATATGCTTAGTTTGTGCCAAGTCCTGCATTCAGGATCTAATGTCTGCATTAAAGTGAAGTCTGTATAAACAAAGAATGTAGATAGATAAGTACTTTATTGATCCCAATTTGGGAAATGTTTGCGTTACAGCAGCATAAAAGACAAGTCAATGAACATAAGAGAAATCAAGAAACTAGAAATAAACAATCCAAAATATTTCTGAAATAAAATAGCGTTAAGTAAAAAAATATACATGTGGAAATAAATGTACCAATGCACTGAAGGAATTAAAATGTTTGTATTTCTGTAGGCAGCGGCAGCATCGACATCCCAGTCCTATGTATGCTGATATCAGGGGAGGCAAGCAAGCTGGAGGTACAGTTGCTGCTTTTTACATAGAATAAATCATTTCAAAAGCACAACTTACTTTACTTTTATTAGGGCTTTTGTATATCATAAATATTTTTGTTTTCTTTTTCTACTTTCCACCAGAGAGTGGACCTCTCTCTGAAGACCTCCATGCCCTGGCTGGTGCTGGCTGGCTCTGGAGGGCTGGCTGACTTCCTGAGTGACGTCCTGGAGAACCTGTCCTCTGCCCCCACCGCCCAGTCCTCCTCAGAGGGGGACGGCGAGGCGGGGCCCAGCGTGGATCTGAAAGAAAGAGTGGCAGAACGGGTTAAGAAGCACTTCCCCTCTGAAGCGGAGACGGATAAACTAGTTGAGCAGGTAAGTGCTGAAGCATGTTGTCATTGTGTTCAGGAAGGAGCTGTTTTTTCAGCGGCTCCTGGCTCAGATTGCCGTGACATTTAACTTTTAAATTCATGGCCTCCTGGTGACACCTTGACCTTTCTTTTGAATGCTATAAGGTCGAGATTTCAATATTACTCCCACAGGATATATCAGCATTCCAATAAACATGCATATACTCCCAAGTGGCAAAGTATTTTCTCTTGTACCATAACCCCCAGGGAAAGCTAACATGTTAAGCTCTGTTGCAGCTGCTAAGGCTCTAAGAAAAACAGCCACATGGTTTATTTGTTGCTCATGTCATCCAACACTTTATAATAGTTGCATTTAATGAACAATTATTGAGCCTCTACGGAGCCTGTTGACTAATAAGAGGATTATTCCTGTAACAAAACAGACTGCAATAGGATTAGTTGCATCTGTCTAGCCAATAATGTTTAAAAGAAAAATGCCTTTAGTGATCCTCCCAACTCTTCAGGACATATCTGATCAAAATCACTCTTATACATGTTTGGACATTTCCAAAATGCATTTGAAAAAGCTGTGAAGTATCTTAGCTGCTCTCTATTTTAAATCAACGTCAGCTCCTCTGCACTACCAACACACCCTCCTAATCGCTGCAGTTTTATCATCAACAGCCCATGCTGCGTTCAAAGACTGTGGCTGGTTATTGTCAGTGCCGTCATGATTATTTAATCAATAAATATAACAGATGTGTCTACTCCCTGCCTGTTGAGTATCTGTTTAACTAGGGCAGGGGTGCCCAACCTTTTTTGAACCGAGAGCTACTTTTAAAGTTGCCAGTCTGCCGCGATCTACCAGTCCAAATAGAGAGGCGTAGCCATTACTGAGCCTACTACCAGTTAAATACACACTTCTACTTGTATAAAACTGACCTTTGTACGATGAATACTTCCTAAAATACTGCAGATCCTTTATCTTACCTCTTTCTAATCTACACACATACAAGTATTTAACTGAAGTTACACAACAGTGTTGTTGATACAGAGTTGGAGTTTATTCACAAGTCACTACAGTGGGTAATGTTTTCAAGAAACATTGAACAGTGCTGCCACATATGACACAAAAATAAAAGACTCTGAACCCTTTCTTTGCCATTAATTAAAAATAGTGTTGCTACAAAAGTATAAATTAGGCTTACTAATAAGACAACTCAGATCTGAAGCTACACAGGAATCTGCTGCCAAAGTGCAATAAAAAAGACAAAATGAATAGAATCAAACCCTTTTTTGTAGCATTTTAGTAGAGTATAAAAAGAAATAGGATGCAAGCAACACTAGTTTCTTAACCTGAATTGATAATAGACTATAATCAATTTAAGTTTGCATTCTTATACCATTTTGTACAATAATTATAATGAATAAGTTCAAACAAACTAAAACTTACAGCTGATTAATAACGGTATCTAACTTGAGTTTTTATTATATCAAAAACCTGTTGAAATGCTACTGTTATTTGTACTGTCCCCCAAAAGCGCATCGGCAGCCTCCAGGAATGCTTCTTTCACAACTTCGCGGTCTTTGAAAGACTTCATGTGTTTCGCAAGAACGTGACTGACACGATAAGATGCTCTGGTAGCAGCCTTGCTCTTGTTGTTGGGCCTGGTGAAAATGGACTGCTGTGCATTTAGCTGTCCTTTCAGGCCCCTCCCCTTTTGGAGCGTAGGGCAGAATTAGGAGGGAATTCCGTCTCGTAGCGTTTGTGCACTGTTTTGAAATGCCGCTCCTAAATTACCCTTCTTCGATAAAGCCACGCTCGCATTGCAGATGAGACAGATGGACTTTGAATTGGAACAGATACAAAAATAATCATCCTCCCACTCGGAGTGAAATTATATATTTTGGGCTTTTTTGCTTCTGCCATAATTGCGGTCTTGTGTGTGTGTCACTCCTGTTGACGGTTGACACTAGTGATGTGTCGGTCGCGAACTCTTTTAAGTGAACGACGGGAGCCGGCTCTCGCCCGCGAACGAGCCGTTTTTTTTTTTTGCGGAGGGATCTAAATCGGCATGAAGGCACATTATGCAATGTGCACATTATCCCGCTTATTACATGGCCACATTCTCAACAAAGTAACGACATGACTCCCAATATTAATTGAAATGCTTTTATGGATTTAGAAAATGATTTTATTGATTAAAAAAATAGTTGTATTTATTTAAATTGACATGCATCCGCTAAGAAAAATAGTCCGTTGTTACTGTTTGAACTAACGTAGCAACGGCAGGAACTGCTTCGATAGTGTTTTTGAGGAGCTTTTTGATTACAGATTTGAAAACATCGTTGCTTGCTTTAAAAGTAGCACAATTCATTATGTCAAACCTTGGAAAGTATCTAGATATCCCTGCCCTAATGCCAAAGTAACTGGCAACTGAATATGTGTCGCCGTTTGATGTCTATGTCTGGACCGCTGCGTAAAAAGGAGGGTTTCTGCCCCATTACTTCTCTTCTTACTTCTATAAGAATAAAACACGGAGGAGGGAGATCTCTTTTTCTCCCCCTCTTCTGAGAGCCCATCAGCTGATCTCAGAGCACGCTCCCCTCTCCTGCAGGGGGGCGTGGTTTATATAGCTAATAGTTACTGAAATAGAGCCCTGCTGTTTTGTCAGGGCCTTTTCTTTAAATATAATTTTAAAATGTCGATACAGTAGCCCCTTTTTTAAAATAGCCTAGTTTTTATAGGTGTTGCTATCTGTTTTGTGTAGCGTGGTTCTACAAGCAAGTCAGTGCATTCATTGGGTGGTATCAGAGAGTTACAAGGGTCTGTAAATGCAATGAAAACATTTGGCCACAGCAAATCATTTAAATTAAATGATGTAATGATTAATTTATGTAATTTTCACTTTTGAATACTTCAGTACAAAGGGTGTATTGAATAATTTAAGTGATATATGTGTACACATATACATCATTAATTAGTCAAAACAGGGCTACATTTGATTTAATTAAAAGGTATAATATGTGGTAAACTGAAGAGCCGTTTGGGAGCCGAAAGAGCCGGCTCTTCTTGGTGAGCCGAGCCAAATGATCCGGCTCACCAAGAAGAGCCGTAATTCCCATCACTAGTTGACACGGTTGACACGGACAACGTCAGCGAAATAGTGCCCACTGCCCACCAGCCACGCCCCGACACATGGGGTCACGCCGGCCAATCACAAAGCTTTGATGCGTTCAAGTGCATTATTCTGGGACAGGAAGATTATGTTATAGGACATTAACGATAAAACAAAATATGGTTGTTCTATTTTTAGACACATCTCGCGATCGACTGGGAATCTCCCCGCGATCGACCGGTCGATCGCGATCGACTGGTTTGGCACCCCTGAACTAGGGACTCATTTGATAGCCACTGTTAATCAATGTTTAATTATTACTGTTGATGCTTGACTTCTAATGCCCTCATAACATCTTTAAATGCCAGACAATCTGCTCACTCAGCGGTGAGTCCATTCGACGAGATCATGGCTTTGACAGTTCCCTGTCACCCAATCTTTCTTCTTCACTGTCTGCATGTCCGTCTCTTGCTCAGTATCACTATTGAACTCAAATGTGTACTTTTCCTGATTCTTGTCTCCATATTCCAGGCTCTGAGCATCTACCAAAACAGAGACTTAATTACAATCTACCATGGAGAGCAGGAGAGCCCCAATGAATTTGACACAGTCCTGCTCAAGGCACTGGTGGGAGGTACATGCAACTCGTTTTAAATTATGAAAAATGTCTGTTTTAAGTGGCAACACGTCTTTATTTTGATGTTTTGTGGTATGATTCTGTGTTTCTCAGCCAGTAAACATCGAGCGTCTGTTGATGACAGTCCTTACAATGAAGAGCTGAAGCTAGCGGTCACATGGAACAGGGTCGACATCGCCAAGAGTGAACTCTTCAATGGAGACATCCAATGGAGGGTGAGAGGGAGGGGGGAGACATCACATGAGATGAGAAATACTACCACTCTAAAGTAAATGTATTATGTGTAGTGTTCTGTATTAGGGCACAACTAATCGAAATGTAATCGCAATAGCAAAATTGGTTGGTGTAATTTTGAAATTGCAGAAGGCATAATATTAGACAGACTACACATCGTATTCTTCAGACTTAATTTATTTTATCTTTGTTTGGTACAGATCCTTTAAAAGGAATCTCGCCATGCGGATTTTAAAAATATCTTTCAATAATGATGACAATAATTTTGTAAAAACATCTCCACTATTGTAAATCATATCGTAATTGCAATTACAGTCAAAATAGTCACAATTAGTTTTTTTTTCTTCTAACTTGTGCAGCCTTATTTTGAAGCCCTTTTGGTAATTACAGCACTTAAAGTTCTACTCTGCAATGGCATTTGGTACGCATTAAGTATTGACCTTATATTGAAACCTTTTCCCAATCAATTAGTATGAAGACTTGGAAGACTCCATGACAGACGCCCTGGTCAACGACAAGCCTCAGTTTGTGCGCCTCTTCACGGAGAATGGCCTCAACATTCTGGACTACCTGACATATGGCCGGCTGGAGAACCTCTACCGCTCCGTGGCCGACGGGACGGTGCTTTACCATCTGCTTCAGCGCCATCTAGTGGAGCGGCTGGGGTATGCAGGCCCTGCACCCACATTAAACCTGCAGGACTCCACGAAAGGTGCAGCAGAGAATGTACACAGTGGCGGAGTGACGGATATTAGCCTTTTTGAGGTTTGTTTCTTCTGATTATAGACACAGGCCAGGCCAATGAAAACAGAACTTGTGTTTACACTTGAATCTTTTGTTCTTTCCTCAGGTTGCAAGGGTCCTGGAACTGTTGATGGGTGATGTCTGCCAGCCGTTTTACTACGAAGCCTTGGGATTAGAACAGATCTCATCCAAGAGGAGAGCTCTTAGGGTAGCTTTGCTTAATAAGTAGACGGATATCAAAGTTAATAAACAAATGACGTGGACTTGCAATTATTCTGACACCCCCTCCCCTGCTTCCTTTCATCCATCCCAGCGGGCCAGTAAGGTGCTGCGAGGAGACTGCGTGTATCGGGACAAGCGCTGTCTCTTCCCCTGGGCTTCGCTCTTCATCTGGTCTGTCCTCCAGAACCGCAGCAAGATGTCCATATTCTTCTGGGAGATGGTAAGACTTTGAAGACATATAAAGCAATAATGTGTTTCTTTTTTAAATAAGCACTTGATAATCTAATCATCTGCATTCTTCTGGTGCAATCAGACCCAGAGCTTGATTAGTAAATATCATTTTTCTAACCACCTGAGTGATACAGAAGAAAAACATTCATGAACATCCCATTCTTAGCAAACATATTGTATCATTGAAAGTTTTTGTATGACCTGAGTTTCCTTGCTGTCTCTCTCAGGCAGGGGAGTCGGTGCTGAGTGCTCTGAGTGGCTGTAAGATCCTGAGGGAAATGTCCAAGCTGGAGGCCGAGGCTGAGACCAAACTGTCCATGAAAGAGCTGGCCCAGAGGTTTGAGAACCTGGCACACGGTGAGAGCATGAACTAGTCTTCATATGGACAATTATTTCTATATATATACTGTAGTCTGAGTGTGAGCGTACGGGAGAGTGACAAAGTGATGGGAAGAAAATGTGGAAGTTCATGAAAAAGACAGATTTTTTCAAACTACACATCAGTCTGATCTTTTTTAATCACAATATTGCATGTTGGTAATGCCAGAGGTAGGATTGTTTGACACCTTGTCGTAGTCTCGTCTAATTCATGAAAAACAAAAAGTCACATATTTATTTAATGAAATGAACACTATCATGAACCTTCAATCCACTAATGTTTGAGAAAACGTGTAGCAATGATGGTCAGACATTAAGTTATTTTTTAGCTGTCTGCTTTTTAGGAATTAATTGTTTTGTTGCCTGTGGAAATGGGTCGTTTTTTACAAAGCAATGCATGCACATCCTGTTTATGATGATTGACTTTTTGTCAGAATAACTTTCTTGCTGAATTTCACTTTTCTAAATGAAGCTCTGTCTGTGCTCTCTCTTCTCAGACGTCTTCAGCTCTTGCTATCGGAGCGATGAGAGTCGTTCCTTCACGCTGCTGATTAGGAAATCTCCAGTTTGGGGGGGCACCACCTGCTTACAGATGGGCATGGGTGCTGATGCACGACTTTTCTTCAGCCATGACGGAGTGCAGGTACGTCACTGTTTTCAAAGCTGTGTGACTAACATATCAAAGACAACATTGGAACCAAGTCAAGGGCTTTATTGAGGCAGTTTAACACGGTATCTGTTATCCTATTAAACGTTTGATACTGTAACTTGCTAACTTCCCTTCCCGAGAATAATTAAATAGATCAAACCTTGTTTTCATACAATGTTTAACTGAAATAGTCTTCTCTTCTTTAATATTATTAAAATGAAAAGGACTTGAAAAGGAAGGAATAATGGGAATAATGATAATGGAATTTTGATTTAATACAAAAAAAACACAGCCCCTTTTTATATTGAGAAAATACATTGCAGTTGGTGAAAATGCTCTACATTTCTCCTCCAGTCTCTGATGTCTCAGATCTGGTGGGGTGACATGAAGAGGAGCACAGAGGTGTGGAAGCTCCTGCTCGCCTTCTTCTGCCCCTTCCTCTGCTACACCAACCTCATCCCCTTCAGGTAAAACCCAAATTAGTATCATTATTTAGTCATTCAGAATTGTCAGATTTCCGCACTGATCCTTTACTTCATGCTCTACCTCACAGGAAACAAAATGACCCGCACCAGGAGGACGAGCGGAAGCCTAGCGATGACGGACCGGGCCGCGACAGCGACAGCCTCTATGGCGCCACCGTCTTCTCTTTCTCAGACATTAAGCACATGTAAAACTCTAACATGTTCATATTTTGATCATTTAAGGAAAAGGGACCACATTGCTTTATTGGTTTGTTTTAGGGGGAATTTCCTTTTGTCTATTGATTTTTTTTAACGTCTTGTTATTGTAACAGTGAAGCTGACACGCAAGGATCACACACTCCAAGGACCGCAAAAGGTGAGCTGTCTTTTAACGCAATGCCTCTTGTAAAATAAAAATGAGACAAACTACTTAACAATGGCCGATGACCTTCCCTACAGGCATACCCCAGACTCACAGACCTCCAAAGCGTCCGTTCATCGTGTCAAGATGGCGTCAGTTCTGGTTCGCTCCTGTCACCGCATTTTTGGGCAATGTTATCATGTACTTCCTGTTCCTCCTGCTCTTTTCCTATGTGCTGCTGGTGGACTTTCTGCCCCCGCCTCCCGCTGGTCCAGCCATCACTGAGTATGTGTTGTACTTCTGGGTATTCACCATCGTGTGTGAGGAGTTCCGAGAGGTGAGTGCAGACAGATCCTAGTTATACCAAATTAACGCCTCCAGATTTACCTCCCCTCTCGATATCACTGCCTTTCTCTTTATTCATCCATGGCCTTTCCCCAAACAGGATAGTGTTGTGTGGCACAGTTGTTGTTGTTGTTGTACAGAATGGGTCAAAGCTTCATTTATGGTGTCCAACTTTTCAGAAAAGGAGAAAAGCTAGTGTTTTCTTCCAGATATAAAGCTATACGGACACTCAGTCTTATAGAAACAAGTCCTTGTTTTCCCTTCTCCTTTTCATTACATTTAAAAACTCAATTTTTATTGAAGCTTTGACTGTAAAAAAAGTATATTTGGTACAGCTCTAGCAGCTCAGATTGATCCACTTACCGTTAACAGAGGTCGATTTTCACCAGATTTCAGTACGCACAGAATATGACAACGTGTGTTGGATTAGAGTCTCACGCTACCTCTAAAGAGTTTTTCAGTATTTGGCACTATCTGGTGATTTTGTGATGACCGCCCTATTTCATCTACGCTCGATGTTCTCCCATAGACGTTCTTTTTGGGGACAATGAAGACTCTGCGTCAGAAGATCAGAGTGTACATTCAGGACGTGTGGAACAAGTGTGACCTAGTCGCCATCGTGCTCTTCATCGTAGGAGTAATCCTCAGGTATAGACACTTCAAACATATTATATAAGTATACGCAAAGTTTAAACATTATATATATCTCATATATGATTATGACAGAACTCTACACTATTAGTAAAATTGTCCATGAGTTTTCATATTACAGAATTACAAAGAGATTAATTATGTTTTAATTATTGTGTTTTAAGACTCTTATTCTCAATGGCTTGGACCCTTCAAAACAGAGCAGTGTGTTGTGATATATGTGACAATGTCAAAGAGTAGACATATGCACAGTTTAGCCTAATGAGATTTATGTTTATAAAAGTTAGAGTTGGTTACAGTTATAATTAGGGAACTTAATGCAGTTGCTAACCAAACTGGACATAAATCAAAACAACATGACAAAATACAAATCACAAAGGATTTAATCCTCTCCTGTCCTGAGTCTCGTGAATTCAATCTGCAGTCACTCTTACATTTCACCCACTGGATGGTGCTGTTACCTAACTGTATTTTCTTCACTGTGTTTTAGGATGTTCGACTGGTCCTATGAATTAGGCCGCGACATCCTGTGTGTGGACTACATGGTCTTCACTCTGCGTCTCATTCACATCTTTGCCATTCACAAACAGATGGGACCAAAGATCATCATTGTTGGCAAGATGGTGAGAAACAATCCCAAAGGTTGACATCATACCAACCTTACTTAGCAGGATGTTTTCATTATATTGATGGAAATCTATTTTATTTTTGCTTTCTCAGATGAAGGACATCTTCTTCTTCCTGTTCTTCCTCATGGTGTGGCTCATGGCATACGGAGTAGCCAATCAGGCTTTGCTGTACTCCTACGACCCCAGCTTGGAGCGCATCTTTCGCCGGGTTTTCTACAGGCCGTACTTGCACATCTTCGGACAGATTCCTGTGGAAGAGATGGATGGTAAATGTGTTTGTTTGTGTGTCATGCAGCTGATCAAAAGTATTACAATATTACAGTTTAAAACCGGTTTAAGAATGAAGTATGTATCTGAACCTTTGTTCCACATCCATTGCAGCTTTTTAAACTTCACGGTACGAACGTAGTTTTAAACCTTCCTTTTATTTTTTTGTCAATCTCAGTGGGGAAGGCCTGGGACATGCCTTGCACACACAACGTGACATTGATTAAGATGGGCGAGGAGCCCTGCAGGACGACGTCTAGCAACTGGCTGGTCGTTATTCTGCTGATTGTTTATCTACTTGTCACCAACATCCTGCTCATCAACCTGCTCATCGCCATGTTCAGGTAAGAAGATGGCTGTCCATCAGTCTGTCTCTGTAGCTCCACAAGCACAACATGGTTTAACTCTGCTCTCCTTCTGTCCACCCAGCCACACCTTCTCTGAAGTGCAGGGTAACAGTGACATCTACTGGAAGTTCCAGCGCTACAACCTGATTGTTCAGTACCACTCCCGTCCTTCCCTGGCTCCTCCGTTCATCATCCTCTCTCACATCAATCTCTTTATCAAGAGGGTAATCCGCAAGGTGCCTTCCATCAAGATCTACCACTTTGGTAGGTATTTCAACTGCAATCTTAAAGGGATAGTTTGGATGTTTTGAGGCAGGGAGGTACTTATCCAGTCCATGTACCTGTTAAGCCCGAAGGTCCCCGCCGGCGGGTACTTTAGGTTTTTTTTTTCACGACACTGTGTCTCTCAGACAGTGGCGGTTCTAGAACATTTTACATGGGGGGGCAAAGGGGGGGCAAGAGGTCATGCCAGGGTGGCATGGGAGGGCGGACAGTACGTGGTATTTTATACTGTATATAACCTATTTATTGTTAATTCATGCCCTAACACAAGTGTTCTTAATGCACAAGAGAAACAAGATGTTCAGACAAACAATCGGGTGCCCTTTGAGTCCCCCAAGCTTACCTCAACCATTTTAAATGAAAGGAAACTACAAAATGTATTTTAAAGCAATGAATTAATGGAACAGGTTTTTTTGCATTACAATGTAAAACTAAATATATATTTTGTTTTAAAAAAATTGGTTTTCTTAGTATTAGACAGACATATTTGTATGTCCTCACTAAGCATTATTACATATTAATTTAATATCAAACCAATCAAAATGGCCAATTATCCCAAAATGTTGCTGCTAATATTATCATATGCTTGTCAACTTTAACTGATCAAAACTAAATTCTGAAAAAATACTTGAATTATCTATGAAATTGCAATATTGTCCCTCAGTTTGTTTCAACCCCGTCACGCCATACCATTTACCCTCCTATTCAAATAATGGATCAGTCCATGTGTGATCTGCATTGAGGGAATTACATCACAAAAGTGTCAGTTTCTTCGCTTACCTATATTTCAGTTTTTGTATTTTCAGATTAAGATTGACAAACTCAACATTTCAACTTATAATTAAGTACACAAATGACATCACCCATCTCTTCAGAGAGCTGAAGGTGACCTGTGCAGCAACACATTTCAATCAATATTTGTCAATACTAAGAGCTGCTAGACTGTGCTGCTGTAATGGAATATGTAAGGAGAATAAGAACATACCATGTGGTCCAGCTGGAGTTTCATCTGCCTCCTGATCCCTGCCTCTGGCCCTCTTTCTGATACTTCATCTTTATTCCTCACATACATTTCTTCTTCTTCACTAATGTCTTCATCTCCTCCTCTTCCTCCTGCTCTGACCCTCCTGGTCTCTTAATCTCCTCCTCTTCCTCCTGCTCTGACCCTCCTGGTCTCTTCATCTCCTCCTCTTCCTCCCGCTCTGACCCTCCTGGTCTCTTCAGTGAACTCTCTTTTCCTTTTCCTCTTTCTGTTCGTCCTGATCACTTCTCATATGTCTTTGTGTTGTTGTTGAATCACTCCTATACTATGGCCTGCAAGAGTCTACTTGTGAAAAGCACTGGTACAAATGCTTGTATAACTTTACACGTTAGGGCCATGTAGCCTAGCTAATATGTAGCATATCATATAACATCAGAAAGTATTGATCAAGCGCACACAGGCAGCTGTGTTTGGATCCAGTTTTTACAGTAAAGGATGTATCCTGGTTTCATTGATCTGGCCTCATTGCTGTGATGCGTAGTTTAGCAAAGTGATCGATCTCCCAGCTAACGCTGTCTGCGTAGTATTTTGTAACGTAACGCCCCAAACAGCGCCCGTCTGTTAAACCCTATCGATTCAAACGGCAGCGTTTTATTAATATTTAGTTTCAAGCTCTCGTCCTTAGTAAAAACAAAACTAGTGGAAAGGGAAATGCTCCCAGGGGAAGCTGATCCATAGGTGCTGGGACAGCTCGCTCCCTCTCTGCAGCGGTGTGAGCCGCGGTCTGTGTGAACGCCGCTCCGCAGTTTAATGCAGGGCCGTAGCTGCGTTTTTAACGGGCCTAAAATTATATTTAAAATGATTCACTTTTAACTAATGTAATGCTTGTTTTGTTGCTTGAGAAGCTTGTGGAAATAGTGTAGGTTTGTTTTAGTACAGTTTTAGGGAAACAAAAGTTAGGGGGGCAGCTGGGGGGGCAAGGCTCTACAGTGGGGGGGGGGCAGCTGCCCCCCCCGTAGATCCGCCCCTGCTCTCAGGGGATCTTAATATTTAAGATACTATTAATGTGTTATACCAGATTAACGGGAATAATCTCAGCTAACTGACGATACAAACCATTTTTACCAAAACAAAACACAAGTCTCAAAAATGCTAACCTATTACTGCACCGATAATCACTCCTAGCTCCCTTATTACTTATCCTAGGTGCACATCCAACACATCGTTTATGATCGCAAGGAGACACAGAATATAACGGTGCCCACCTCAACACTGAAAGATACAAACTCGACGTTATCAACAAAAACGTACATCAAAACAAGTGGCGCTAGGTAGCCCACAACGCTAACATGTTTTACCTTGGTTTTGTCTGGTCTAAACTGGTCTTCAATGGCATTAAAACGATAAAAACGATGGTGTAGTTAATCCAGTGGTTCTCAAAGTGGGGGGCGCGCCCTCCCTGGGGGGCGCAGAGGTATGCCAGGGGGGGCGCGAGAGACCAGGAGGAAAAATAGTTATTAAAAAAAAGATTTTTAAAAAAAAGAAAAAATCATAATTTGAAAAATTATTGATTCGAAAATAATATGATGCAGTACTATTACGTCTGGGTCTCTGCGTTTCATTAAAGCTCAGCTCTGTGTGTATGTGGAACGAGCCATTTTGTGTGCGCGAGAGAGAGAGAGCGCACCGGTACCGGAGATCGTTGTTGTTAGCTTCTGGTGCTAGCGAGCTACACTAATGGATATAAGGAGTTTTTTCAACAACAAAGTGGAGGAGAGTCCTCTCCTGTCAGACTGAGAGACTCAGTGAGCTAAAGGACTCTCTCAGTGTTATCTCAGTGGGTCTCAAACGTTTTGGTCACCATTAATGTAAACAATTATTTCCGAGGCACACATTTATATGATCATTATTGTTTAAAAAAAAAAAACAGCTATGAAATACTATATGACAGTAAAACAAGAATAAAGTTTAAAAGGGGAGTGGTTTGTAAAATATCCATAAAGAAAAAGTAAATCTGTTAACAGTTCTGTTTCATATGGGTGTTGAGAGATGTATCCATAGATCTCTTCATTTTGCTCTCAAAGTGCACCAGATTGATGCTTTCAACTTAAAAATTGAAAAAAATATCTTCCCGGGGGAGCTTGTCCCCGGATCCCCCTAGAGGAGGTCCACACACCACCTATAAAAATAGAACTTTACCCCTGCTTACACCTATATGCCGTGAGCTGATTATCGTGCCTTCATTGTAACAGTTGCGGGTACATTGTATATGCGTGGGGAGTGTTGCAGTAGAGAATTCCACTGTAGTGACCGGTACATTAATGGGAAACCCTAAATGTTTGAGCACCCTCTATGAAACGTCAAGCTACCCCACAGAACCCCCAAAATAAATCTCTGGCGCCGCCACTGAGCCTGACTATTTGTGTTGGGGGGGCCCGCCTTTTTTTTTCTCCAAAGGGGGGGCCTGACAGAAAAAGTTTGAGAACCACTGGGTTAATCCAATGTGACTGCGTCCCCTTTGAAATGTTCTGATAATCCATAAGCAATAAAACAGCTTTTCCGTTGCTTGATATCAGAGCAGCGATATTTCTCCCCTCTAAGGCAAGCTAGCATGCGCAGAGAGGCTACCATTTTTTTTAAAAACATGAGTCTATGGGACGATTTCCCTTCGATTCTATTGACACTAACGGTCAAATGGCCCCAGGAGAGGTTTTTTTTTGACTAAATCTGTCTAAAAAGGTCAAATATCACTTGTTTTGCATCAATCTTGATACAGGGTACTTATTATATGTTGTACTTTGGATTCCTAAAGCTTTTAGTCTACTAACCCATCATCCAAGGTTAGTTTTCACTATGTACAAAATATTTTTTGGACAGACACTATAATTTACAGTTTCTTACCATGTTCAATCTGAATTTTCTTTAAAATAAAAAACATCTATATTGATTTTGACTTTTCTACATCCAACTCACAGGTTTATCATTACTTTGAGAAAAAAGATTATTAATTTAACCCTTTTAGAAGGGAAGATATGGTCATTTGGTCTGGGAATGTCATTTTCGAGCCTGAGACCTGAAAAACAGGCTCGGGGCCTAACAGGCAAAGCATCGTCTTCTATCTACTAAAATACACTGATTATAGATATAAACCTCATTCAATCCCTTCAAAACATATAGAATATCCTTTCAAGTGAGTCTAATTAATATAACGAATGGTTTCCCAGATGCGCCAACACATTTGACTCCCAGTTGGCTTTTATCAATGTGTTGTTTTATTTGAAACTGCCTTTTCCCCCCAATTTAGTCAGTGTCCTCGAATAGTGTCATGTAACAGGACTGTATCATTGTAACTCCCACATCATCTTCAACTTGCAATCAACAAATCCTTCTCTTTTCTTTAGTGTTGCAGTTAAAAGGGAAAGCAGCCAACAGGCTCATGACGTGGGAAACCATTCAGAAGGAGGACTTCCTGACCGCCCAGAACAAGATCCAGAAGAGCAGTGACAGTGAGAGGCTCAAACAGATGTCTGTCAAGTGAGCACACCTCCCTATACCAACACTATGTCAGTGTAATTATTTATGTCATGCTCCATAATACATAATCAGTAATAACATAATAGTGAATGTGTCCTTTTTTTCTCTTCTTTTTTTAGAGTGGATGGTGTACTTAAACACATGAGTGAAGGCAGAGACTTCGACCACAGGCTGAGGGCTCTGGAGAATGAGGTGAAATTATAGCACCTTTTTAAAGTATTGACTCTCACTGAGATTATTATTCTGTACCATTTGAGTTGTTTTTGATACTTTCACATCATGTCTTGCATTCAGTCAACTTATCCTATACAAATGTCAGCCAGCTAGATATAGCAGGGCAGAATGATATGCATCCCGACAACTAGAACACCATGTTCTGATATTGATATCACAATATGCATTATTTCATATGTGAGGAAAATCACACGTTTTTTAAAGGAATAGTTTGCCAATTTGGAAATAAGGCTTATTTGCTAATTGCTGAGAGTTAGATGACAGTATTTATTCTACTTTTGTTTGTACGTTAAATATGAAGCTACTGCAACTAACTGGGTTTGCTTAGCATTATGAGGGCAGCTAGTGTAAAGTATAAAAATGCACTGTTTTCTCTTGGGGTTTTATGACCTGGTATGTCTTGGTTTGAACCAATAATTTCCCTCAGTCTCCGTTGGTTGAGGAACTTTTTTATCGTTTTCTGTACAGATAAAAAAGAAAGAAGAAGAAGATAGGTGTAAATCTAGTGAGCTGGTGCTGGTATCTGGATTTCCGTTTTAGAAAGAGCCAGGCTAGCTGTTTCCACTTGCTACCAGTCTTTATGCTAAGCTAAGCTAACTGGCTGCTTGCGATAGCCTCATATTTAACAGGTTGATATGAGGTTTCCCAAAATGTCAAACTATTACTTTAAGTTAAGGTTAAAATGGGACTGCATGATATTAACTAGAACCCTGTTTTTTTTTTTTAATGATCTGCTTGCATAATTAAGGCGAAATCACACACATGCAAAATGACCAGGAAACTTCAACATGTAGCCTTAGATAACGTCATGGTATTCCCAAATAATAAATCCTCACCTCAGGTGTGTACTGCATGTAAACGCACAGATTTTTTCTCTCCTGATCTCTTCTTCTGATCTTTCATCTCAGATGGAGTACTGCTCGAGTGCTCTCAGCTGGATTGTGGATACTTTGGCACAAGGCAGCACGTTTAAACCTCCTCGGCCTCCTCCTACAATAAGAGGTACAAAATCACAGCATACATTTTTCTTCTCAGATTGTTTCCTGTTGGTTTTTGCCTTAAGTCATTCATGTTTAACTTGCCGTGTTCTGTTTCACAGAGGCGTTCCCCTCCTCTTCCCACACTGCCTGATCCAGCCTTGGTGATGCCTTCACTTGCTCAGGGTCGGTAAAAGACAAGTGCCACTGCCATGTTCATCACTGGACTCACTTCAAGTAGTTTAATTGTTCTGAACTGGAGTATAGTAGCATTATTCCAATTACAAAGTAAAGTGTATGTATTTATGATGTAGCATGACATATTGTCTGTATTTTGTTTGTCAATGCTATCATGTTTTTATTCCTGGAATACTGTTTCAAAGGTTTTTATATAGGGTTTTACTGCTATATTAAAACTACAATAATGTTTACAGGACACATTACTGTTTAATACTTTTATGTTCGGGCAAACTTAAATGTTAAATCATGTTTTTGTATTGCAACATTATTTTATTATGTTCAATAAATTGTAGACAATGGTATAAGGAGTCAACTATGCTACTGTTAACGGATTAACCCTTTAGGGGGACATTTTGTGACATACACGACATCCACTCTCAAGAGCTAGCATAGACAGTTAGCTTAGCACAAATACTTGAAACAAAATGGCAACAGCTACCCTGACTCAAGATATATGTTAATCAGTGTCAGTTACAGACTGAACTATTCCTTTAGCTACACTCTCTGGAGCGACGCGTCAGGTCAAAGGTCAAACATTGAAATACTATAATCCCATGAATCACTGAGGGAAATTGTGACTTAAACATAAGAGTGAGGTAGTTTGATATACTGTAGATAGAAGGGAATATGTAAGTGTGAAAGGTGTATGTGGTGCTGAGTTTCAGATTGCCAGAGCTCTATTGAAGGTCACATAGTAGAGCAGGGCTATTGAAGGAGGCTTCACTGTAAATAGCCGGCTGGGCCACCTGTCAATCGCAGCAGCGGGTCGCACTGAGAGAGGCAGTGTCATCACTTTTCTGTCCCCCCCCCCCTCTCATGTGCAGACATGAACCCATATGTGAGCATGTGTGTCACGGTTCAGTTTCTGAGTAGGCTACTTTTGATGCTTCCTTTTACACACAATCTGCAACGCAATTAACCAAAACTATCCTTACTGTTTCTTATCTGCATAAGGAAAACCCGTAATAATCATTCTGTTCTTAAAACATAAAGAATTTCTTGGGAATGGCAGTTGTTGCACATGTGCAGACCACCATCATATCCATTTCTGTCTATTTACATCCATTAAATACATCATCCTGACATGTTCTCTGCTAAGGGACAGGCAAGCAAATATCGACTCGCTGATGAGACTGTGTCTGATAGGTGTTAGTTTAACCCCATAAACTAACAGAAAAGGGACTATTACTTACTAATATTACAATCATTTTTGTTATCACTTTCATGAGACCATAGTTTAAAATAATCTATTTGTACAATGGAGCTTTGTGCAAATGCAGTCCTGAGTTTCAGCCAGGTTTATTTATAGATTCAATTAAAGAAAGGGAGTGTATGAATGCTCCTGATTACACCTCCCACAGCTTTAATAGGTAGAGAATAATCAGGGAAAGTCAAAGCTGTTGGAGTGTGTAAATACCATTTGTTGCCTGCATGCGTCTAATTTGTTCAAGATTCAAGGCTTTATTGTGATGTGCACATTAGCTACAGTGTCTATATGGCAATGATAAACTAGTAGTAGTAAATAGTGCAAGAGAATACAAATAAAATAGAACTGTAGTATATTCTTATGGTATATTTTATTAATGTATTCTTTATTGGACTGCTTTTGTTCTGGGGGATTTACAGACAGACTGAAAGTAGATTTCAACAACTGAAAAAATATATATATACTCAAAGTTAAATAAATAACAGTCATTTACAAGTGTGTACATATATACCCATACATGCAAATAAAGATTCTCTCCCGAATAGCTGTAGCACTTGAAATGAAGACCTAATCCTAATCCACTTCAATTGGATTATTTAATATTGGTAAACAATCTGCTCCTTCCCTCTCATTTTCATATGTTCTTTTACCCCTTACCCCCCTCCCTCCTGCGGTACAACCCCCCCTGTCTACCCTAAGCACACACCCACCTCTCTAATACACTGGGTTAAGGGCATCAGGAGCATTCTTCCCACCCATGTGCCCCTGTCACTCATGCACATATGCTACTCCACCACACACCCAGTTGTGTTTCCACTGTGTTCCAGGCACAAGGCTGGCACTCTGCTCTGTTGGTCTGTTGAGCTGAACAACATCCTCGCACCTCCTGTAACTCTCTCACCTTTCCTGTGGATTTAATGTTTTTTAAGTGTTAAAAAGTCATTGATTTTTTTACATTTCGGTGGAGGAAACAGGGTCAGGAGACTTGTGGATTTTTTGTTCAGAAGAAACTCCAAACCTTTTGAGTTTTTTCCAAAATGTCTCCTGTGAAAGGCTGGATGGTGGGGCTCCTGCTGGTCCTCCTCTGCCCGTCTCAGACCCCTCTCTCTGGGGGGGTGAGTGCCCATGAGGTGGGGGAGGCAGGGGAAGGCCTCTACGCCAGATATGTGGAGGCGGTGGTAGCTGAAGAGGGAGAAACTGCTGAGGGTGATGATGGCGCGGGTGATGAAGAGGAACATCTAACGGAGGATGAGGAAGAGTCGGATGAACAGGAGGATGAGGAAGAGGAGGAGGAGGAAGAGGCCGAGGAGGAAGAGGTGGCAGCTGAGGAAGAGGAAGATGAGGAGGAAGAGGAGACTGCTGTTGAGGAGGAGGAGGAGGAGGAAGAGGATGAGGCGGAAGAGGAGACTGCTGAGGTGGCAGAGGAGGAAGATGAGGAGGAAGATGAGGAAGAGGAGACTGCTGAGGTGGCAGAGGAGGAAGAGGAGGAGGAAGATGAGGAAGAGGAGACTGCTGAGGAGGTGGAGGAGCAGGAGGAGGAGGAGGAAGAGGAAGAAGAGGTCGCAGAGGAGGCTGCTGATGAGGACGATGACGAAGAGGAGACTGCTGAAGATGAAGCAGAGGAGGAAGAACAGGCTGCTGAGGAGGAGGAGGAGGAGGAGGAGGAGAAGGAGGAGGAGGATGATGATGATGATGATGATGATGAGAAGGAGGAGGATGCCACAGCTGAAGATGACGACGAAGAAGATGCAGCAGAGGAGGACGAGGACGAGGAGGCATCTGAAGAGGCAGAGGAAGCCAGCGATGATGATGATGATGATGAGGAGGAGGAGGAGTTGGCTGAGGAAGAGGAGGCTGATGAGGATGAGGAGGATGATGAGGAATACGCTGCAACTGAAGTAGAGGAAGATGACGGTATTCCCCTTTTTTTTTACTACATTTTATAATATATTCATACTACCACTAAACTTGTGTCATTTAATATAAAGTATAACACTTCAGAGGTGAAGGAAGTACTTCACTACTAAGTACTAAGTGAAAGTAGCAACATTACACTGTAACAATAGTCCATCCTTCACAGTACAGTACAGTGCAGTACTTGAGTAAATGTACTTCCTGGACCCTTTAATGCAGGGGTGGGGAACCTCCGGCCCCCGGGCCGTATACGGCCCGCGAGACCATTTGGTGTGGCCCTCGAGGTAATTTATAAACACACGCAAAAAAGAAAAAAATTAAAGAAATCTAGACTAGAGATGTTAAGATTCACCGATTCGCATCGGTGCACCGGCATAAACGTTCAAGATGCGAGTGCACCGGTTGAAAGAGTGCACATCGGCTACAGTTTGGGTTGAACCGGGTTGAACTCGCGATGCATCGATGGCGTAGCGTCTTTGCATCGGTAAAAAACCGATTCATTCATATAAAATCCCCTCATCGTGTCAACGCTCAGCAGAGACGATCTTTGATATTTGCTTCGCCACTACGGAGGCCGAGAGTCTCAGTTATCAACACACACGGAAGTCGTAGAAAGAGAAACACAGCGCACCGAAAAATACCTACAAATCAAACGTTTGGTAACACTTCGGATTGTTCAAGAAAGACGGTGTAATAGTCCTTTATGCTATATAGTTGACCGCAGGTCATGGAGAGTAATAAGGTATCCGTAGACTTTTGTATGAGGTATCTTTATTACTTAACAGGTCTACAGCCATGATACATAGATCCGTCCTAGATGCGGGCTTGCATACACACAGTATCACTCCGCAGCCGCACCCCATCAGTAACGTCCTGATGGTATATGTGCACGGCACAGACGGTCAACTTGAAAAATCGCTCGCAAATTGTTAACGATGCCGAGCCGATTTAAAGTACACAAGTAGTACGAGGAACTTAGCGACGCACATAAAGAGGCGACATGGGGTCTGCGGCTGAAAAGAGAAACCTCAAAGTTAGACATATGAGTTAAATCACTCAGTGAGGTGTTCTGTCAGAGAGAGTGGTGTTTAGTTTACAGCAGCCTGTGACGGCCAATAATAATTTAAATGTCTTCCTCACTGTAAGCAGTTATGAAATACCTGTTTGTGAAAGGTTATTTGTATTATTTATTGTTCATATAGAACCCACTGCTTTCTGCTCACTGGTGAGTTAGCCTATGAATGAGTGTTAAGCACATCAGGCTGGCAGCTGTATGGGCATTGCTCTATGGTAGCTGTTATTTGCACATTGTTAATCATGAGCAATGCATCCTTACATTGTTTAACTGTGAGGTGTTATACAATTGTACTCTGGAGAGCTTTTAAAGGTAAACAAATAAACGGCATGATGGGATGTGCAGTACCAAATATGTAAAGCACTTTTTTGTTAATGTATGATTTGCTGCATATAAGGAATAAAACAAAAATCCTCTGTCGTACCAAATTGAAGTATCATTATTTTTGCATCGTGTTGAATCGCATCGTATCGCACCGAATCGCATAATGTTGAATCAAATCGTATCGAACTGTATCGCAACAGGGGTGAATCGTATCGTATCGCATCGCCTGGTGTTTCAAATGTATCGTTAATGTATCGTATCGTGGCAACGTATCGAGATGCGCATCGCATCGGCCTCAGTGATGGAGATGCACATCCCTAATCTAGACCGCAAAATAATTAAACAAGTGAGTGCCTGTTTTTCCTGGCCAAGGTCAGGGTCCTTGAACACAACACAAGCCTAACGTGTCATCACGTGGTATATGTCTCGTCTGACAGGGGTGTAGTTCTGACCGGGAGCACCAGAACTCAGCTCCGCTCCGGCACTTCCAAAAATTGCAGTACCGATAAGGAGCCGTACACATGCTGCAGTTTTTGCGTGGCTGTGTCTTTAGTTTTAAGCCCAGTGGCGATCTGTTCATCTGTCATACTGAGCATACAGTCAATAACTTTGTTGTTATTAGCATCTGGTTAGCTAGCTATGCTAACGAATATAAGAAGCTTTTTCTACAACCAGTGAGGTAAAGGCACACCTTTATATGATCATTATAGTTATAAAAAAATAAGAGAATAAAGTAAACAGGTGTAAAATACTATATGACAGTAAAAAAAAGTTGTTACAGTTTGAAAGGGGAGTGATTTGTAAAATATCCATAAAGAAAAAGAAAATCTGTTTACAGTTCTGTTTCATATGGGTGTTGAGAGATGTATCCATAGGTCACCTCATGTTGCTCTCAAAGTGCACCAGATTGATGCTGTTAACTTCAACATTTAAAAATAAATCTTCCCGGGGGAGCATGCCCCCGGACCCCCCTAGAGGAGGTTAGGTCTCCCCCCACTTAAATCATGTTCACATGGATAGGAAACAAAATACATTTGCACACATCTTGTGTCCATATCTTTCTGTTTTGGAGGTCATGCCACAACCGTGCACGTGCATGCATACGCGAGTCATGGCCAGATATCTGGATTAAGAGGTTGCTTTTTCTTTGCACAGCATGAAAGAAAGGTGAAATGAATGGGCTGTGATTTTAGTTTTTTTAAGCAGAGGTCAATAATTTGTACGGCCCTCGTAGGCGGAGGATGTTGAAAACATTGAAATGGCCCTTGAGAGGAAAAAGGTTCCCCACCCCTGCTTTAATGCCTCCTAACTCCACATTCCCTTTGACATTGTAGTCTTTCTGCAGTCACCGTAGGAACGCTGTCAAATAACGGCCCTAAAATAGACTCACTTATCGGTGAAGTAGCTGGCACCCAGCAGGGTCCAAACCTTTCATGCCTTTTGTTGAACCACTGTGTTTATTTTAAGATGCAAAAATAATTACTGGTGGAGTGCGTACGTTTAAAAAAACTAAGAAAAAGGACTGTCTCAAGATCTTTCGGTGTTCATGCTTTAATATTTACTACGCAACAACAAAATATGTATTCCCAACTCCAACCTGCATCATTATTACTAATCAGTAATGGGAACAGTTTTCCTTATTGCTTACTTGAGTTATAAGTACTTTGTCATTTCATGATACGTTTTCTAAATCAATCAATTTACAATTTGGCCTTAAAAATGTCATAAAATAGTAAAAACGTGTATTTAATTCAAGGTGATGTATAATTGTTGTTATTGTTTTGTCAGTCCAATACCAAAGACAATCAGTTAACATAATATGAAACAGAGAAAAGCAGGACATCGTATCTTAAAGGCTGAAAGATGAAAAACGTTCTGCCATTTTTAAATGAAAAATATTTGTAAAGATGAATCCATTATCAAAAAAAGTTGTTGATATGTTTCTGTCGATTGACTAAAGCATTTGGGTATTAATAGATAGCAGCTTTCCAAAATGCTCTTAAACAAAAGACTTATCCAATGAGCTTTTATAATGATTCAATATCATCTGTATGGAAACAAGACATATCCACAACCTGATGCTCATGCATGAAATGTTCGCTAAACGATACTTTAAGTTTTTTGTTTTTTTTTCCGTTCAGAAACACATAACATAAACACCAATCTTGATGCAGGTCCCCTACATAATGAGCTCTGACCAATATACACAAATACACACCAAGCAGGATTTAGCAATGTAAGAAGAGTCTGCAGCCATGCTAGCAGTTCTGTGTGTCTACTCCAGCCAAATGCAAATGTACTGTCAGCGTTAATACTTGCATGCTCATGTTTAGAACATATAGTGTTTGTAATGTATGTGGTGTCAGTTGAGCGTCAAAGCATGCTATTATTAAAACCAGAGAGCACTCCACACAAATCAGCATACTGCCAAGGCCCATAGGAATGCCACTAGTTTTGTAGGTACTTGGTCATAAATCAAAGTGTTGGACTAACTTAAATATTAACCTCATGTTGATTCAACAGTACAAGATAAGTCAAGAGATCAGTTTTTACAGTTTCTTCTCTGGGATCACACATTTGTTTTCTAAATCTCAAATTGCAACCTCATGGTGGTGCTGGATGGAAACTAAAGGGATCACCAAAGTCGGTAGAATTCATCCTCTGGGGATACTGAATACCGAATGAACTCTCTCTGTAATGCGAGCTACTTATGCAGTCTTTATTAGATGTATCTCCTGGATTACCTCAGTGTTTGACCTATCACAAATAAGGTTCTTACCAATTTCAATGGGAAAGTTTGGGGTAGGTGTAGGGGTCAAACATACGAAGGAGGCCGATAATAGTGTTGTGTGTGAAACAAAAAACAACCCTGACTTGTTTAAACTTGGGAAGTTAACTACCACACATAGCTAACATATGTAACATGCTTATATTAACCAACAATATTGGATTTCTAAACACAACCACATGTTTTAAACTGATCCAAATGTCATAGAGACCTTGAAACGATATTGGCAGTGCAGTTTTGTTCTATGGGAACACCATTTTTATTAGGGTTTTAAAGGGTTGACTTATTGGCCGAGATACAGTACACACAGCAAAAGCCTATAGCTAATTTCAATATTAAGCTAATATGTATTGGCCGAACTAATTTGTTGTGACTCTGTTAACTCTATGCAGATGAAGTCACGGACGCAGCAAATGAAACGATTGAGGAGCCCGCCACCACCCCGCTGCAGTACCGCTCCGGCTCTCTGTGCAGTGTGTGCACCATCTGTGAGGTAAGAGACTTCAATGGATCTTATGACGAAATAACTTCTAGAAAAATAGAAACAGATAATGACTGTACGTTGTGTGTCTTCCTTCCTCTTTCAGCACTGCTCTACAGACTGTGAAAAATGCCCGTGTGAAGATGACGATGAGTCGGATCACTGTGAGCAGTGCCAAGTAAGTCTTCACTGTGCAGTGTGCAAAACACTCTCAATAACACACATTAAAGGCAACAATTGGGATAAACTTTATTTATTTTGTTCCAGGATTGCTCATCTTGCTACATCTGCCCCTTACTGTGCGACACAATCTGCTCACCAGGTAAACACTGAGAAATACTCATTATGCTTGTATAGTTCAATCTTTAAGCAACTTCTTAAATGTTGCATGTGTTTGTTTCAGGTGGCCTTGTTGATGAGCTTACTGGGACTCTCTTTCAGTAAGACTTCACACAACACATTTACATGTATTGTGCATATACTATGTCATTATGTAGTTGAGTTTGTTTACTCATGCTATGATCTTGTTTTTCAGGAGCGTTTCCTCTCTACTCTGAGCAACCTGCAGGCTGCTCCCTCTAACGCCACCTTGTGGTAAAGTGACGTACTGCGCCCAGGACTAGAGCTGTCCGGCTGTGCAAACCTCTCCAGCAACATGAGAGCTGACAGAAAAACAGAAACACATTAAGGTTTTAACTCTTGTTTAGATTTTTAAATGAACTAGTCATTTGGGCTGCAAATAAGAGTCTCTTTTCATTTTCTTTATTTAATGAAGTGCCTAATGTAATAGTTAATTGCTAAGGCTATTATATAATTTGTTGAGAATCTTATTTTGTAGGAACCTTTTTGTAAAACAGTTTTAGTTGAACAACAATGTGAATACGTTTATTTTAGTGGATGACATCTGTAGGAATGCACCAGAAAGATGACAGTCCATTTATTGTTACAGAATAATTTAATATACGTGTTGATACAAAAACATGTTATTCAATTTAACCAATTCTTATGTGATAATTAATGTCTCTAATTTTTATTTGGTTCCGACATTTACACCACAAGTACAGTTCATATTACATTTAGCTGTTTTGATATGTTTACTTTGTTTTTTTTATTTCACATTGGTTATTTATAGTTTTTTTGTTTTTTTAGCATATACTCATGACTATTCAAACTGCAGTTAGTGCCTAATTAAAACAATGTTAATAAGGCCTCACAGTTTTAATTCACAACTGTGCATAAATTAAAGTTTTCCCACCTAATTTATGGGAATTACCTGTCGGAAATGTGAAATGATTCATTGGAGTAAATTGGGTTTAGTAGGTGACTTTTGGTCGATAGTTTGAATAGATTTTATTATCGTATACTCTATAGAATTAAAAGGCAAAATCGATGACTGTTTCCTAAATAAATTACTTCTATTTACCCTTTAACCTTTTCATCCTTCTTTTAAAAATAATCTGACAGGCATGGTCTTTGTTATGCTATATTCGTAGAGGGATTTCCACACATGTTCACACACACACAAGAGATGTATGATCACCACAACATGGTAGAAAATAATAAAGAAGAATTGCTCAGCCAATCCCACGATGATGAGTGAATGAGCTCCAGCTGCTGTGAGTGAGTGGGCTCTTCAAATCAGCCATGTGTCAAGGGAAAACAAAGTTCTTATTTATTGGTTTGAACTTGGCAATAAAAAGGAGGAAAAATCAATTGAGTGTATCGTTGAATCAACACAGACGGAGTCAGGGCTTTGTGTCCGGTAAGTATGAACCTGTTGATAACTAAATATTGAAGAACGTTCATCTTTTTTTTAAGGCTGTGATGCCTCTCATTATTAACATGACCTGTTGAAATGGTTGAAATTAATAACCTACCACCAAAGGGGGTTTCTCTCCCAAACACTCCCCCCGCTGCCCGAAACGCCTCCATTGGACCCCTTTGTTTATTACCTTAACATAATGACATCACTAACACCCACACTTCTATTGGCTAGCACTCCAACCATTTTTATGTGTAAGGCTAAAGGGCGGGACATTTGACCAATCACAACAGAGCCGGCCAGCTAACCAACTGAGCTCTGGTTTCAGACAGAGGGTGAAAAGAGGAGCATGAGAAAAATTAAGAGCGTATTGAACATTAAAGCAGACAGTGAGACATATCATACAAAAATGAAAATGTGCGTAATAGGGCCTCTAAATCGAAGGAGATCTCTGCCTTTATTGACTTGATTTGGACTCTTCTTCGCATAGAATGTCTCTTGTGAGTCTGCCCCTTCATTTATTGATTTATAAACTCATCTCCAATCATACTTTCGTACCCATGTGACAATTCATCGACATTTTGTTTGACAACTTGTCGTTGCTGTTTTGGAAAAGGCAGGGTGTGTTTTCTTTTTAGAGAAGAATAAATACATGTAGGGCTCTGAGTAATGAGGAGTGAGAAGTGGATGTGAAAGAAACCTGTTGCGTAGGTTCATTTAAAGAGTGGTGTGTGTGTGGGCATAAACACAGGAATAATAATAAACATTACCAGGTATAAAAAGAGACCTTGCTTTCGTGTTTGGAAGAAAATGGTTGTCTTAAGTGTCAACATTTCGTGCTCAGCCTGCATCTGTCATTAAATGCTACTGTGTAGTCAATATCAATTTAATATGAAGTGTTTGATAATTTTGGAAATGCAAGTATTCACTTTCTGGCAGAGAGTAAGATAAGAACATTTATTTTAACCTACATTGGAATTTCATTAACCTGTTCCTTTCAATCAATCACAATGCACTTAGTGTTCATAGCTTTTATTAGCTTCTCTTTCGATGATAGATAGTTGCACTAAACACACCCAAACATGAACTTAATGATGTTCATGTGGTAATGTCATTGTGGTTTGTCGGAATGCCAAATCAGAAATCCATTCACAAGAGGAGCATCTGGATTTGAATCAGACGGTTGTACATTTGGCCGTGGCCCAGCACAGTACAGCGTCACATTACTGCGGTTTAAAGTAAACATTCCTACAATTGTTTGTGTAGGCCTAAAGTCTGTCTTAATCCAACATATACAGAGGGTTTATTTGACTTCTTAAGGTGCCCGTTTTCAGGACAACATCAGCCATGAGCCATGTGTCAAGGAAAAACAAAGTTCTTATTTATTGGTTGGAACTTGGCAATAAAAAGGAGGAAAAATCAATTGAGTGTATCGTTGAATCAACACAGACGGAGTCAGGGCTTTGTGTCCGGTAAGTATGAACCTGTTGATAACTAAATATTGAAAAACGTTCATCTTTTTTTTAAGGCTGTGATGCCTCTCATTATTAACATGACCTGTTGAAATGGTTGAAATTAATAACCTACCACCAAAGGGGGTTTCTCTCCCAAACACTCCCCCCGCTGCCCGAAACGCCTCCATTGGACCCCTTTGTTTATTACCTTCACATAATGACATCACTAACACCCACACTTCTATTGGCTAGCACTCCAACCATTTTTATGTGTAAGGCTAAAGGGCGGGACATTTGACCAATCACAACAGAGCCGGCCAGCTAACCAACTGAGCTCTGGTTTCAGACAGAGGGTGAAAAGAGGAGTATGAGAAAAATTAAGAGCGTATTGAACATTAAAGCAGACAGTGAGACATGTCACACAAAATACAAAAATGAAAATGTGCGTAATAGGGCCTCTAAATCGAAGGAGATCTCTGCCTTTATTGACTTGATTTTGACTCTTCTTCGCATAGAATGTCTCTTGTGAGTCTGCCCCTTCATTTATTGATTTATAAACTCATCTCCAATCATACTTTCGTACCCAGGTGACAATTCATCGACATTTTGTCTGACAACTTGTCGTTGCTGTTTTGGAAAAGGCAGGGTGTGTTTTCTTTTTAGAGAAGAATAAATACATGTAGGGCTCTGAGTAATGAGGAGTGAGAAGTGGATGTGAATGAAACCTGTTGCGTAGGTTCATTTAAAGAGTGGTGTGTAAACACAGGAATAATAATAAACATTACCAGCTAAAAAGACACCTTGCTTTCGTGTTTGGAAGAAAATGGTTGTCTTAAGTGTCAACATTTCGTGCTCAGCCTGCATCTGTCATTAAATGCTACTGTGTAGTCAATATCAATTTAATATGAAGTGTTTGATAATTTTGGAAATGCAAGTATTCACTTTCTGGCAGAGAGTAAGATAAGAACATTTATTTTAACCTACATTGGAATTTCATTAACCTGTTCCTTTCAATCAATCACAATGCACTTAGTGTTCATAGCTTTTATTAGCTTCTCTTTCGATGATAGATAGTTGCATTAAACACACCCAAACATGAACTTAATGATGTTCATGTGGTAATGTCATTGTGGTTTGTCGGAATGCCAAATCAGAAATTCATTCACAAGAGGAGCATCTGGATTTGAATCAGACAATTATACATTTGGCCGTGGCCCAGCACAGTACAGCGTCACATTACTGCGGTTTAAAGTAAACATTCCTACAATTGTTTGTGTGTAGGCCTAAAGTCTGTCTTAATCCAACATAGGCCTATACAGAGGGTTTATTTTACTTCTTAAGGTGTCAGTTTTCAGGACAACATAAGAATTACAAACTTATAGTCTGCTGTGTCCTTTGTATAGTAAAGTGGCATGTGTATCCTTTATCTTTATCTGTACGTTAATGTTTTATTGTTGCTTGCCGCCTCGATTTAAGGGATTAGAAATCAAAACAGTTCCTTTAACAGGAATCAAATGGATTATTTGAAGTTCATGCTGCATTACAGGGTCCAAGGTTATGATAATGAATTTACTGATTAAAAGTTATGCTTTGAATTAAACTAGGGCTTTGTTTTGTTGCCTAGGTTAAGGTTGAATTAGCGTCAACTTTATATTATTACCATTGTGGTGCTTTGGTACCACAAAGGAGCAGGGTCATTCAGGTTTAACCTTGCTGAGTACATCCCCCGCATTAACCACCTCATGGTACACCTGTATTTTGAGTGCAGTGTCCTTAAAACAAACTTATACTCATGTTACGTCTCCCCTATACTGGTTTAGTGTTACGCAGTGTCCCCCCCTCCCATTGCATTGTCTGCAACTCTATAGGACGCTCTCATCTTCTCCTCACTGAAGAGCTTGTTTGGAAAAAGACACATGTTTTTATTGTGACACCTCAATCTAACTATCTGATTTAATCCTTGGGGACTTCAGGCTTGGACAGCAAGGTTAGAGGATTTGTCAAATTTTAAACGATTACATTTTCAGCATGAATTCAGGATTTATTCTTTGATTCCACATTATATGGTATCACAAACCTCCTGATGCCTGCCTTTGGGATGCAGTGGGAAGACTTGAGTTTATACCGTGTCTTAGTTCATTTAAATTGGATTTCATGGGACTCTTTGAGTAGGACTTGCTTCAACACATTCAACATGCTTTCAGTAATGTATGTTGTTTGACGTATGTTGATGTTTCAATGTCCAGCTGCTGCAAAAATGCAGAATTCATATTGATATATTTTGATACATTTAGCATACAGTAGGGCTTCATCATAGCTAGACATCACTGATGTTAGTACAGACATAGCTTTGTCTCAAAACGTGTTTACTTCATGCTGTTAATAGACATTGTGAAATGGCTATAAAACCCATGCAGACCTTGTGGTTGATAACCAGTTACCTTTCCTCCTGAAGATGCATTTGTCCGCCCTTCTGCTGTGCCTGAGTTTGGGGGCTTTGGTCAAATGTGGTGAGTAAAAAGCTTACATTTTTACTAAATGTAAATATTTCTGTTTAAGAGCTTTGTCCATTTGTACTTCATGTGGTATCATCTTTAATGAGGATTACAGTGCAGGACGCAATATAATTTAGATGTCAAGGACCTTTTTTATTCTAAGCAGAGATTTGGAGACATATGTAGAGCAATCTTACATCCATCCAAGATTGTGAATAAAGAGCATTATCTTAAGCTGTCTATCATACATAGTGCATGACCTACACAAGGTGTCTTGGCCTAGATAGTGTTGGGAAAACGTGGATCCGGAATCTCCATTTATTTTTATTTTAAAAATAATTGTTACCCTTTTTTTCTTGTTGGACTTAAAATGTATATAGCATAAAAGGATGCATGAAGGTCTGGTGTTGGGAATTATTATTATTATGATCATTAAGTATAATTACGTAATGATTATTTAAACGTTTTCTGAACCTGCTCTTTAGATTGATTTATTGATTTTGATTGATTTTAAAGGGCAAGCATACATCCAGAATGATTACATGTTTAGAAGAGGGCTATGCATTAAAATATATATATATTAGATTATACCAGGGGCGTTGCTTGGATCTACTAAGATCGGAGGCTTAGCCCAGACGACAATTGAATTAGAAAATAAAAAAATATTCGACTATCCAAAGAACACACCATATTAAATGTAAATAATGAATTAAAAGTCTCTACATTAGACCAATCTACTACCCAAACAGAAAGTAATGGACAAAGATTACTATATAAAAAGTGTACAAATGTAGTCAATATCTTATCCATGTGATCATGTTTTGAGTGGGGGATCGTCCCCATATCCTCAATGTCATTTAAAGCAATAATAATAGTCCAAAAATAATGTGTAATTGCATAGTTTAAAGCCACCACTGAGTTCAGGTCCAAGTTACAATATAACTCAGCAATGTTTGATTACAAAATGCTTACAAAGCCTTTTTTGTCAGCTCGCTTCTACAGTTTTCGCAGCATATTATTTCTGTTTCAGCTACTGGAAGCGATTGGTGCTATACCGACTGCGGTAAGTACGAAAAATGTCTCTCCTATTGATTTACTATTAGTTTGTGATATTAAGACCGCCTCTAACTTTCAGATGACACCCCGTCCACATGGGAAAACCTCCATGGGGCTTCCTGTGGAGGAAAAAGGCAGTCTCCGATAGATATAGACACCAACAATGTTCATGCGGACCTCCACCTGCTTAACTTTAACTTTGTCAACTTCTCTTCTAAGCATGTCATCAAGTCCATAATAAACAATGGACACACAGGTACACAAACTGAGACTGAAGGGCTTTTCTATACTACACTCATTGTTTGGGACAGAGGTCTGGAATTTTTACATGATCTTTAAAATGTGCGTAACTTCAGTATATGCTTAACACATCCTTTATCTTTAGTGAAATTGAAATTGCATGATGGTGAAGTTGAGGTGAGCGGAGGTGGACTAAATGATGCATATTCAACAATTCAGCTTCACTTTCACTGGGGCGACACAGAACATCACCCAGGTTCAGAGCACAAGATTGACGGACAAAGATATCTAATGGAGGTAGTATTGTTCGGCATTCACCATAGAAAACATGCATCTTCTTGTTTTTTAAACTGCGCGCACTTTGTGACTTTTCTTTTGACTTCACACCCTTCTAATCTTTTGCAGATGCACATAGTCAGTATGATGAAAGGTCTAACTATGCAGCAGGCCACGGAGAAATCAGAGGGAATTGCAGCGATGGCGTTTTTCATAAAGGTATGTCCTACACGTTAAGTTATCGTAAAGTGGTATAATTGCTAACTGTTGAAATCACATTATGCTTTAAAAACGCCACAAAAATGCTAAACTTTTATTGCAGGATTTCAGGTTGCTCAATTCCAATTGCACAAAGCAGAAACCTCTTGGTCTAAACCAAGATATATATATATATATATATATGTATGTATAGCCTATACATATTTATAAATACAGTCTATGGTCTAAACTAGTGAAGCCACATTTGAAGTATGTTAAACCCGCATTCTTTCCAATGGCCAGCAGAGGGCAACTCAGATTGTAGTCAGATTGTATAAAAGTCTACGAGAAAATACCAAAATTACCCTAAAATGTTAACTGATTAAAATTACACGGCATTTTCCGGTTTAAGTTTTTTTCCGTGTTTTCGTCAGAGATCTTTTACCATTGAAAATGTATTACAGTACTTTGGTCGCCTAAAATGGTCTTGTTCATTCTTCGGTTACACTCAACTTCTTTTAGGCAGTCAATGGGTTGTGCTATGGGAACTTGGACCTTTTTTAATGTTCAATGTATGCATCAACTCTAACACTGACAACCCCTATAGGCCAGATAACTAGACTACAAAAAAGAGCTAACATTGTGTAATATGATGTCCTCCACCTAAAGGCAACAGAAGATGGAGATGTGTCGCCAACATGGAGTAACCTCACATCCTACCTGACAAATGTCATGGGTAAGTGTTCTTCCCTTGTGTTGTTATCGCAAGTGAGAATATTGTGGTTTCTCTACATCCCTGGCATGGTCTGAATGTATAAACCTTGGCATAGACAGGTGACATTTCAAGGTTTGTGCTTTTTTTAACCTCTTAAGCCCTGAGCCTGTTTTTAAGGTTTCAGGCTCGAAAATGCTATGCCCAAAACAAAGGACTATAACTTAACTTCTAAAAGGGTTATATGAATAATTTCTTTTATCAAAGCAAGGTTACATCTGTGAGTTGGATGTAGAAGTGTGAGAATCAATATAGATATTTCTCAGTCAGAGTAAATTCAGATGGAACATAGTAAAAAAAGGTAAATTCTTACCCCCGCCTAAAAAAAAACCCATTACTTATAGTGAAAACTACCCTTGAATGATGGGATAATAGACTAAAAGCTTTAGGAATCCAAAGTATAACATATAATAAGTACCCTGTATCAAGATTGAGGCAAAACAAGTTAAATTTGACCTTTTTAGAGAGGTTTAGCTAAAAGTAGTCGAGGCGGACTGACCTTTGGGCACATTTTGGCACATTTGGATACCATCAGTGCCATTTGACCTTTTTCAGGTACCATACTGTAAAAATAATGTTATTATCACTATAGGTAATCATTCCATCCAAATACAAGTGTTTTTTAAAAAAAAATGGTGTATGTAAATGGTGTGTGTCTGTGTGTGGACTTTGCCACAGTCCTTACATGTTTATCACCCGACTAACACTTCTAGGAAGGTTTACTTACACAATAACAATTAGGAAACATAGGATACATTTGTCTCCAAAAGGAGCAGATTTATTAAAAAAAATAACACACTAAAAAACCGAAATAACACCACAAGCATTTTTTTTGTAAACACTGGCAAAAAAGAAAAAATGTACACAACCTGAATGTGTTTAGTGTTTTTGAATTGAGGCACCAGGCACTTAGTGCAGTTGATAGGTCTTCTAGGGGTGGGGGGGGCAGGGACTTCACCCCTCATGTCTGCAGCAAGCTGTTCCCTGAAGGACTTCTGGGTGTGTGGCTTCGTCCTGCCGGGGTCACCCCTCATCTTGTGCAGCTCCTTGTGGAGAAGGAAGCTGTTCACCACTGCAACGTCCAGAAAATGGTAAAAAAAAGGTCTTGTACCATTTCATGGTTTTGTGGTGAACGCTGTAGTACCCAATCAAAGCATCGGACACATCCACGCAGCCCATGCTTCTGTTGTAGTCCACCACAGCGTCAGGAACGGTAATAACCTTAGTCTGCCACACACCAGCCCGTTTCACTTTCCTCCTGACAGTCTGTCCACTGACTCAGAAGATGCAGAGGGAGGCTGAGTTAGTACTGGTGCAGACGTCCGGCGGCGTAGCTTGGATGTTGATGGCTCTGGGGCAACTGTATGCTGATCTGATGCACGTCGTAGCTCGGATGAGGCAGATGTTGATGGCTGTGATCCAGAAGCCATTTACTTGTCTTCTGTGAAAACAAATGTGGAAAAAACAATTACGTTTATTACTTCACTGGATTATTCTTTCAAAAATGTAACTCAAATCAGAAATAATTCCTCCATTTAGCACACACATATATTAGTGCTGTCAAAATTATCGCGTTAACGGCGGTAATTATTTTTTTGAATTAATCGCGTTAAAATATTTAACGCATTTAACGCATGTGCAGAATGGCCCGCCCCATACGTGCCACCAGTGGCAGCGCCAGGGTATGGCTGGGGTAGGCTACACCAGAAATGGCCCCACCATGAAAAATGATGTTAAAGTAAGCAAAATAAAGTCTGCCAACTCGCGCGTAGTAAATTGCACAGACAGCAGTTAGTAAGATTGATTTCAGTAGCCACGGTTTTGAAAACTTTTGTCACGTAGTGATCGTCTTCTCAATAGAACATCTTTGATAACGGCGTGGTGTTGTTGCAGGAAGTCCCGACGGAGAATACCTTTGCTGTAGTACAGGGGTGCACATAGCTGGTACGCAGGTTATATGCGTAATCTCTCTGAAATGCGTACCGTCACTTGTGTCACAAAGCGCATTTGCGTACCGACGTACTTGTGAATCTTTTCCAGAAGGCGGTTAGATCACCGGACGACAGAGTCGGTCTCCGTGTGCAGACAGGGCTGCTGTTAACGTCGGTCTGTACAACGGAATTGTGCCAAAACTACGCCAACCGGCTGCGGAGGGAGACTCCCCCCCCCTTCACTGGAGAACTGAGCTAAAACAGCTGATCACAACGTTCACACTCTATGGTCACGAAGTACTCCACTAGCCGCCGCCGCCCCCCCTCTGTCCAGTGCTGGAATTGGGCCGGTGTTGCAGTATAACGTGAGTCATGACAACTGGCGACATTCTATTATTTTCGTCATAGGAATCCGGGGCGTGTACATTGAGGACCCATTGTTGATTCACCATGTCGATCGCCTCGTTTGTCCTTTACGTTCATCTTTTGCTATTTCTGCCTTCCTAAGATCACTTTGATGCACATTCAGTACTCGTATGTGAGGTTGTGGGTGAGAGGTGGATATCGTGACGCTTACAGGGAGGTATCGAACATTACAAAGTAGGTGACTGTGTGGATGCCTGTTCAAAATATTGCAAACTTAAATAAATCATTTAAATTATATAAATGTGTCCGACTTTCATTTGTACATTGTTCTTAATGTGATGTATAGTAGCTCTGAGCAGCCTAAAAGTAAAACACAAGTTGTTTATTCACAGCCCGAACGCTCATCAACATGACTGGATCACTCATGACAAGTTGTGATCAGCTCCGATTAAATTGTGATATCAATGCTGTAGCTATTCTCCAGGGAGCACGTTTTTTTAATGAAATACCTGTATCCCTCTCATCACAACAAGACTATACACTGTGCAGGAAAAACAATTACATACATGAAAATAACCTTGATGCATGGGAATGAATCACACAAACTATCTTCCGTGGCTATACTGATGTCACAGTAACGGTCAACCACAGAAACGTAAGTCCTGCGGGGCACAAGTTGAATACATATAAAACATTTGTACATCGTTCTTAATGTGATGTATAGTAGCTTGGATAGCTGTCCATACCTTCAGACAGCCTAAAAGTAAAACACAAGTTGTTTATTCACAGCCCGAAAGCAGCATCGAGATAACTGGATCATCTGCAGTGTTGGGCAAGTTACTTCCAAAATGTAATACAGTACATTACTTATTACTGTCTTTTTTAAGTAATAGGCTACGTTACATTACAATATTACTGTCTCTGAAATTTAATGACTTACACTACTTTTATATGAACCTACTTTTGATCACAAATACATGGATCCTGAGATTGAAGCTCAAGCCGGTGACCAGTGAGATTGTTCTAACAATTTCCAATAAATGTTATTCTGAAACATAACTATCACTGTTGTCTTTCCATATAAATGAAGCCAAAAATATGTCAAGCTGGCGCTTAGCCCTCCAAAAAGTGCATGGTTGCAACTTAGACAGTTAAGCATTTTATATCAGTGGATCCTCATGGTGCAGACAGAATTGCTTAGACACAGGTGTCACATGAACTTTAAATGTTCTGGAAAGTTCCTTATACAGCTTTAGCCTTTTTTAAGTCCCTAAGTGACACACACTGAACAGTCTGGTGGGTTATGGTCCTTGTCATTTGCTTTTGTGTTCCCATAACAACATGTCCAAGATGTCCATGTGCCAGGCTAACACATGTGACAGAACTATCTACATTTGGAAAGGTTTTTTGTTGCTAAAGTTAACATTCAAGCCATTTAAGAATAAAAATGCTTACATGACATGTCATTTGTTAAACATTAAGCTGTCTTCAGCTCTTTTCTGATTCTGATTACATATAACCTGTTGTAGAAACATTTATTGATGAAATTGATATGAAACAAATGCCATAAATATTGATGTGACACTTATGTCACATCGGGACATTAACCCTAAACATTCACAGTAAACCCGGAGTGACATATATGCACAATTACAAATATGATTATGATCTGCTCAGTTAATTTAGCTGATTCAATTATATTTAGTTAACATATTCTTTATTATTCAATTCAAGTATGTTCAAACAAATGTAAACCAAAAAATCATCCTCATTAATGAAGTTATAAATAAGAGTTACTTTACCATTAAAGCCCAATGTGACACATATGTCACATTTCAGATATTTGACACTAGGGGGGGTTACTTGTCAGAAATGTGTTCTCGGTGGTCTATTTAGTCTAAATGACGTTCCCCTTAATTTCCCCAAAAGTATAAATGGGTCCGGGTTCTTATGGGTTAAACGTATAGGCTTAAGGCATAATAGAACTACTGTATTATATGTATTCAACTTGTGCCCCGCTGGACTTACTTTTCTGTGGTTGACCGTTACTGTGACATATCAGTATAGCCACGGAAGATAGTTTGTGTGTTTCATTCCCATCCATCAAGGTTATTTTCATGTATGTAATTGTTTTTCCTGCACAGTGTGTAGAGTCTTGTTGTGATGAGAGGGATACAGGTATTTCATTTAAAAAACGTGCTCCCTGGAGAATAGCTACAGCATTGATATCACAATTTAATCGGAGCTGATCACAACTTGTCATGAGTGATCCAGTCATGTTGATGAGCGTTCGGGCTGTGAATAAACAACTTGTGTTTTACTTTTAGGCTGCTCAGAGCTACTATACATCACATTAAGAACAATGTACAAATGAAAGTCGGACACATTTATATAATTTAAATGATTTATTCAAGTTTGCAATATTTTGAACAGGCATCCACACAGTCACCTACTTTGTAATGTTCGATACCTCCCTGTAAGCGTCACGATATCCACCTCTCACCCACAACCTCACATACGAGTACTGAATGTGCATCAAAGTGATCTTAGGAAGGCAGAAATAGCAAAAGATGAACGTAAAGGACAAACGAGGCGATCGACATGGTGAATCAACAATGGGTCCTCAATGTACACGCCCCGGATTCCTATGACGAAAATAATAGAATG